GTTGTTTTTGACTGGTTCTATTCTGAGGTCTCTTAGTATGTGTTTGAGTGATTTTGAGTAACTTCTAGCTTCGGGATATTAGAGTTGGCAGCTTTGGTAGATACTGCTTGTATTTACAAGTTATAATAGGGCCTTAGTTTTCCCCTTGTTAATTTTCATTTTCCATTTCTGGAAGAATTCCAGGATGAGATTAACATGATCCTGCATCGAAAACTTACTTCAGATGAACTCGTTTTTTTATCTGATAATAAAATTTGATATTTATTTAAACTAATAGCCGTGATCATCAGTATTGCAAATTTAAAAATTTTTTTATAAACAAAGCTAGTCAGCAAAACTGAATCTTATTGCCATAGAATTATTATTTATTGCACTCATATTATGTATATTATATATCAATTATAGGTATATATTATATATATTTTTATTATTAACTCTCTTCAAATGTAAGTTTTTTTTGTATATATACAGTAATCATATTGTTGTAGCCTAATTGAGAGTCGTGAACGGTGTTTGGACGTGGTGTTAGATGAGTGGTTCCAGGACGTAGCTCCAGCCGCTCCTGGAACTAGTAGAAAACATTTCAACTTACAGTGTGAGACTTAAATTTACTAAAACCGTATCTTAGGACAAGGGAAAGGTAAATAATAAAAATTGAGAAGGCTTAGCGTTTAAGCAATGAATTCAGCTTAGCCAAAATTGTAAGCAAGTAAGGGAACAAAGGAAGGGTGTTATCGTAAGTAGTAATGGGTGACTATGATTAAACTCTATGTAAGTGATAGTTTTAATCGAGACTGTAGATCGAAATGACTGCAAAGACATAGGCAATGTCTTTCAAAAAAAGTGATAGGAATTGAGAGGGCCTAAATCTTATTTAATTAAGCAAATCAATGGAAACTTGTGCTGGGTTAAGTATATAAGACGGAAGATTTTGATTAATTTAAGTGTCTGTTAAATGATTTGCGAAACATTACTTAATAAAAGGATTGCATTAGTTGCCTGATTAATACTTAGACACTTACAGTGTCATTATATTAAAATAACTACCTATTAAAAGAACTAATTTTATTGTGTCTTTAATCGGAAAATAATGGTCACTGATGGTAAACCACATTGTAATTATTTGCGAAAACTGTTGAATTAAATTTAATCATAAACAAGTAGCAAGTAGTAGTAAGGTATTTCAAGACTTAATTATTTAAAATTTTTAATATATTTAAAAATATATGACTCTATAACAAAATTCATACAATTTAGATTTTGTATGAATGAATAAATATAAATTTGTTTCAATACTTATACTATCATACATCGTAATCATTTTACTCATATGTACATCCTTGGAGTCCTTGCGTTCCGAGTTAATTAACAATTACTCCTGAATATGCTTAAGAAATATTTTTTTGCAAAATAAGCAGAAAAGTTCCGAAATTATGAAGTTATGTTAAGAAAGCATGAGTTGGGAATATTGTTTGCACTCCATTTCCTGCTGCCATTTTATAATCGCCCAAACAAATGCACAAATGTAGGGTTGGAGTAGACAATGGTACCGGAGGAATTGTTTTGAGGAAAATATGTGATTGTAATTTCTGGAAAATCAATTTTTTTTGTTAAGTGTGCCAGAAATCTTGAATGTGGAACTGAATATGCATATTACACATCCCTAAAGCACATCAGTACTGATATGTTAAATCGAATGAAAATATTTAATTTAATGTTTTTGAGCAATTATTCGTTAAGAAGTTACAACCGGTAACCAGCTCAGATTCAAACTGAAGTCATCACACAATTGCACTGTCTTTCAGACCAAAAGGATATTAGTTGGCCATCAGAAAACAGTTCTTCAAATATGTTTTATGAAAGGTTTTCATTTTGTAGGATCTTTTTTTCTCTCCTTCTTTTGTCAAGTAAGGCAATCATTTTAATAACTAATTCTTAATAAATCATCATGGAAGGACTTACATTCTAGCGGAGCTTATAAATAGTTGTTAAATATTAATGCTTATAAAGCGGTACACCATACGCAGCCAAACGTCTATTGTGATTAAACAAGACAATAATATAGTGCCTCAAAACAGAATAATTTCAATCAGTTCTACTTCCTTTTATGCCTTTCATTCTTTCTAACCATTTTTTGCTTGTTCTCACACTCTTCTTTTAAAAAAAAATAATAATTAAATAACTTTTCAAGTAATAACTTTTCACATAATAAAAAATGAACAAATATCTTACAATCGAAGTGGAGATACATAGGTGGGCCATCATAGATTTCAAACACATGTTGCGAATGTTGTTGTTATAGTCTGTGCAGATCTATATAACAGAAGACATGAAATGAATTCTAATAAGTTATCGAAAAAAAAAAAAAAGTGAGTCGATGTAGTTTTATTAGTGCTATCCCTTAGTGCGATCTGTAACAAAATATGCAATTTAATATATATTTATTGTTATGGTATTGTAAGAAAATTAATCTCAGTATTTATTTATAAGCTATATTAGACTAAGACATACAAATAAGGAAAACGCTCAGTTTTAAGTTAAATAGTTGGCGGCTTAGATCTGACTGGAATCATTTCAAAAGATCTAAAGTCAACTTTTGGCGACCATGCAATATTTATTACCCTAAGGAATAAAATACAGCGATCTTTTAAATTCAAAAATTGACTTAGAATAAATAAATTAAACATGCATAAAAACCTAAAATGAAATACAAACTTTAAATTTGTACTAATTTATATTGATACTCTAATAGATATAGTTATGCATCCAACAACTCCAAGACCGTATGTTTTCTGAGTTACTAGTGAAATTCTTAAGAATCTGTCATGTATATGCATCATTCAACCTGTAAAAAAGAGATTCTTTCAAAAGTACGAACTTTTACAAGAAGAGTGATATACAACCGGACTTTAACTGATCAAGTAAGAGAAGAGTTTGAGACTATTTTACTGAAACATCAAACCAGATGTAAGACAATCCCGAAATATCGTTCAAAATAATAACACTGAATGGTTTTCGCTGCTCACACAACAATTAATCAAGAATGGTGTACGATTTTCTCTCTGAAAAATAACTGATTTAGTTCAAGCTTGTAGTTGTTATAGTCATATTCGCAGCCCCAAATTCACGCCTACTTTTGAGGTCCCTGATAAGAAGAATGAGCGGCACTTGTTACTTTTTTGTAAACCTTGAAGACAAATCTGTTGTTTAGGACTTTTGGAAAAGATTGGGAACACTTTGTCATCTAGTAAGACCAATAGCTCTAATAGATAGTTCGATCTGTTCTTGGAATCATAATCTAGGTTTGCAAGAGCTGAGTTTGTTGCATTTGAGCAGTGGTGGTTGCTAACATAAAATATCTACAATATATGCTATGTTCCGTTTCGTTAGGAGTCCAGAAACCTGTTAATTTACATTGTGTGTGAATTTGATTATAGCTAGCAACATAACTACAGATTTTATAAACTGGAATAAATTATCTTTAAAGACAATTTTCCGTCTATATCAAGAATGTTCAGATCTGATGCGATCGCGGACCAATACAAATTATTGTGCAGATTAAAGGGCCGTAGAAACAAATACATAGATTGATAGTAGTTGCTATTATAAATACAATATAGCGCTATTAATACGATTATAATGTTAAATTTAGTTCTATTAATTCATCAATTTAAGTTCATTTATTTAGTATACGATTAAAATAAAATAATGTAGTTTTACCAGTACACAAAAAGAAAATTTTCGTAATTATAGTAGATTAAAAACATGTCACGGACCGTATGTGGCTCGCGGGTCGTACTTTGGACAGCCTTCGTCTATATTATAGACTGTACTGTGTAGTATACATAATATTTTTAATGAAATATTACGTTGTATGTCAATCTCTATTAGATTTCTTTATAACTAATGATTAAATTATATTCTAACAAAAACAATTGATAGAATGTTCCCTCTGTGAATTGAAACATACGTAAATAGGTTCAGCCATCATATTTTCAGTATTTGATGTAGATTTATTAACTTAAGATATAATATTTGTTCGGCTTAAGAACCTTTGAAGCTTGTTTCAAGCAGTTTCTGCCTTCACGGACCATTTTGTTTTGGAGTCGCAAGGGTTTGGGTGGTGATTGACGCCATTATTCAACAAAATAGAGAGTATTGTTTTGAAATATCTGTCAAAAAAAATTTTTTTTTTGAATTTTGTAAATAATTTAACCTTTGACCTTATTACATGCTTAAGTTGTTGCTTTTCGCAATGTTGTCTATGCAATGGTTAATATGTAGATATATGATAGGTGATTAAAAGTATTACAACCACCGTTCCATTTTTAATGGTCCATTTTATAATAAAAAAAAAATATGTCTCCATTAAATTTTTGCATATTTTGCATTAGCAATCAGTGGTGATTGCAAAAATTTTTTTTGTAATATATAGCTTTATATATTCTTTTCCACAATAGATTTTTGTTTATCAGTAAATGGAGTAAATGCGGCGGGAACGAACGCAATTAGCTTAAAAGAAAAATTAACATTCCCTAGAATATGCGAATTTATTTAAACATTGATTTTAATTCGCACACTTAAAAGTCTTTACGCGGAATCTACAGTGTAAACAGTCATTTTCGTCGCTGAGCTTTTTCTTTCATTAGGAATGTCACACTTTTGCATATGCAAATGATTATAAACTTCACTTCACATCACAATTTACCGCGAAAAATTAGCAAATTCGAAATTTATGTTGTCAGGCAATGTTTTGGTTTGGTTTTTTGCTTTAATGGCTTTTATATCATTTAATATAATTTCCATTTCCGAAATACATCATTTAAAATTTTGTAAAAACCGCCGAAAAATGTTAGTACTGTCAAAATTTGCATTTTGTTTTTTTTCTTGGAACTGCCTTATCTACAAAAAATCAGTGTTGCCAGATAATTTAAAGTAAAAATTGTAAGTTTTGATTAAAGTTGGCGAACAAATTTCGGAAAATGCCATATCCCAAATTAAAACTCATAAAATTTTATATATTCTAAATTTCCATTCCGTTCATAGCTCTTCAAAATTTCTAGTTGAAAATTATTTTAGATTTCCTTTAAAAGTGTAAAAAGTAAGAAAAATAGTGCGAAATCAGTTAATATAAATAACTAATCACAAAATTTCGTGCATCATTTCAGATTTGCAAATCTTCTCAAAATGTGTGATCCTTGCTGCGTTCCCTGCTGCTCGCCATGTGGACCTTGCGGACCCTGTGGACCCTGCGGACCATGTGGACCATGCAGCCCCTGTGATCCCTGTTGCGCACCTTTTGAGGTAAGTTCTAATATTGACACCTGCTTTGAATATGATATATTTAACTGATATAGTAAATTAATTTGCCAAATTTTTTGAAACAAATCTTAATGGAAACAATTTTATCACAAATCAACGAGTATTAGCTTTCAACAGTTGAGAGCTACCATTGTTAGTGCTGCTCATTGGATTCCTTTAAACTTTTCGATTTTAATATAAATATCGATTTTCGATTTTTAAATAAAAGTTACTGACTGACAAGTAATTTTTTTTATAGTTCAAAATTGTTGATATAATATTTACAAATGATAACCTAATATAGATATCAAGATAATTTGCATTTAAAACAAAAATTATTGCACTGTCGCATAAGTAATTCGTGTTTACTTAGTTTTGCATATACGTCAAAATTAAAAATTTTTAGTCACAAAAAATATACAAACTCCAATGCGTATTTCCTTTCTGTCCTCATAGTGCTCACCAAAATGCTATACAGGCGCTCAATTAGACGCTATACCGCAGTGCGCTCCACGTATGCCACCACCATGTCCGAAATGCATCACCGTTCAGCAATCACCCCGTTTGATTTGTAAAAAGCGAGTAGTATTTAATGAAAAAATTGTACCAGAACCGATGGTGGTAAACCGTTGTCGTCAAATTACAATACCAAAAGTGGTTGATACAACTCGTGTTATTAAAGTACCAAAATTGACATGGGTATCACAAATGGTTCGTGAACCCAGAGTAATATATTATCCTTCCATGGTGCCAGATCCATACGTGGTTTGCTATCCGAAGAGAATATGTGAACCAAGAGAAGTTTGCCAAACTATTTTATGCCAACCGAAACCGCAATCAATTGATATTCCACCACCACGTGAATATTGCTGTTATCCAACCGGACCAATTAACTATAAGCCAAGTGTTGCATGCCCGCCTTGTCCAATTGGACCATGTTCACCATGTGGACCTTGTGGTCCAATGCCATGCTTTGCTGGCAATCAATACCCACTTTGTGAACCTTGCGGACCTTGCGGACCTTGCGGACCTTGTAAACCTTGCGGACCATGCGGACCTTGTGGCCCTTGCGGTCCTTGTGGACCTTGTGGACCTTGCGGTCCATGCGGACCATGCGGACCTTGTGGACCATGTGGCCCTTGTGGACCTTGTGGACCTTGTGGACCTTGCGGACCTTGCGGACCATGCGGACCATGTGGACCTTGCGGACCATGCGGACCATGCGGACCTTGTCTTCCACCAAATTGCGGTCCATGCGGTATGACTATGCCTTCAGGTCCCTATGTACCAGCTCCCTGTGGGCCTTGTGGTCCTTGCGGCCCATGTCCACCTTGTGGTCCTTGTGGACCCAATGGGCCTTGTGGACCTTGCGGTCCTTGTGCGCCATGTATGCCAGGTTGTCCTTATGAGGCACCAGAGTGCGGTCCTTGTTATCCATGTGCTCCAACACCTTGGAATACACAATGTGGACCCTGCGGTCCATTGGGTCCTCAAGTTCCCTGTAGCCCTTGTGGTCCATGTGGGCCATGCAATCCATGTGGACCATCTTGTTAGAATATTTTATGTTATTGTTTGTTTTAAAATTATGTGTTGCATGCCTGGTCACAAGCCATTATCAAGGTGAGTTTCATGTACGATTTACCTTGATTAGCACAACATATCAAGGTGGATACTGTCGTGAGACCGCCTTGATATGACTTGTGCCATTCAAGGTTATTCAGAGGGTTTTTCCACTCAATTTTCGTTTTATTTGTATTTTCAGCCTAAAGCCTGTCGTAGTCGTGAATTACGTTGTGGTATCATGTATACAACATGTGAGTGCATTAAACGAAACGGCCTACAGGACAAATGCCCCCGATCTATGTGTCAAGGTCGCTCGGCATGTATGTGTTTCCCAACGCCAAACTGCTGTCCAGCTGCATTTCCTTTACGGTATGCGAATATGACAATGGGTTGCAATAAGCGAGCTCGTTGCCCCGGTCAAGGAGGATGCTGTCCACCGCCCTCACCTTGCTGTCCAGCACCTTGCAGTGGTTGTCCAGATCCTTGCGGAGCACCAGCACCAGTACCTTGTTCACCATCACCGCAATGCTGTCCTCCAATGCCTGAGTCTGGCATACCAGATCCACGTATTTGGAATGTTTGCAACACACCACCATCTTACCCATGTAAGTACTTCCACATATCATATTTAAGAAGTTTATCGTGCTATAAACATTTCAGAGTTTAAAATTTTAAAACATTCATTTCGCTTGCATTTAAGAGAGTTATAAATACTTAGTTTAGTCATTATTTGAGTATAATTAAAATTTAATTTGTCATTAAAATATCAGACTTAACATTTTAATATTAGAAAATAAAAAAGATATGTTTAACGTATTGCGCTATACTTATAGGCGAATTCGTTTGTCCGAGTCGTTATTTAAAACGCATTAAGGAATGCTGCAACTATCCATGTCCATGTCTGGGCCATTGCTACAACACTCCCCCAAAACCATGTTGTTAGAACAACAAAATATATGATTCACGACAGATACGTCTTTGACTAAAACGTATAGCAGCAACGATTTTGGTCATTTGGCTTAAAAACTATTCATTCTTTTTACAATGAATTACACTATTGCAATGAAATCTTTTAAAGGATAAAACATTTTATAAGATAAGAACACAACATAAATATTTATCTATAAGCAACTACAGAAGATAGAAGAAGAGATGCTTAGTATGCTTATTCAATAGGCGTTCAAGTTCTAAACAGCTTAACGTACTTAGCTTTTATCTGTTTAAGTAAGTAGACGAGTATTAATAATTTTATTAAACCAATTCTTATATTTTTTTATTCACAGGTGGATTTTAGGCGGCAATAAATGTTTCCATCTTGTAAAACAAAACACCTAAAAACAATTGATGGAGAATACCGCAAAAAATATTTAAAACAAATAATCTTATATGGAGAAGAACTGAAGGACCACAGAAGACAGAAGAAGAGTCAAATCCAACTTTATGACGGCTAAGATTATCAGCATTCATCAGCCATTAGCTCAACATACTTAGCTTCTATCTGTTTATGTAAGTCAATCAAATTATCTGATTTTATGAAAAGTTATTTATAATATATTACTTTTAGGTAGGTTCCAAATTGGGAATAATTGTTCTCATCTTATAAAGAAAACAACTAGAAAAAACAAATAATGACGAATTATAGTGGTTTCCATTTTAAATTAGGGAAAAGGAAACTATATCCAGATAAAAAAAACAACTAGAACGGCTGGATAAAATATGGACTACAAAAATAATCATCACTCCATAGAAAAAAAACACTCAAATATTAAATAGAAAAACAGGAAGTAAAACAAGCAATGGTCACCAACAAAAAATCAATAGTAGTATTAGGAAGAATTGTACAAGATCGATAAACGCAAAACCCAAAAACAGCAATATCGAAATTTGGAATTGAACTGGTATTGTAGTCATTAAAACAAATCGGCGTATTATTGGGGTAGAAAACATAAAAAGGAAGTACAAATTTAAAGGATATTTAAATTCAAAGTTACACTTTTAGGCTAATAAAGCTATTAGAACATAAATTTAAAAATTGAAAACATTTTTCTTTTTCTTTCTTTTTCTTTTATTTTTTTTTAATAAAGACTTGGTAACACTCTCTCTATTAAAGCTTAACGTTTTAAGTAAATTTCTTATTATTAACTTAGTATAACACTTTAACAGTTGCTCACAATGATTTAAGATTAGTAAATATTTATTAAACCTAAAATATGCAAGAGGATGAGCATTTTTGACACGAACAACGAGCATTGTTCGTTTACACTATCTCAATTAATATATTTTTGTAATTATTTCGATAAATGTGTAGCAATTAGGTGTGAGATAATCTCAAAACCAAATAATAATAATAGTCGTATTTTATTTTTAATGCTTATATAAAACATATCATTTTTATATTATAAAACATATGGTTACACTAACTATCGCAATTAATGTATTTTTGTAATTATTTCGATAAATGTGTAGCAATTAGGTGTGAGATAATGTCAAAACAAAATAATTGTCTTTGAAGGAAAAGCCTGTCTCGAGCACTCTAATGTGGCAATCTTGAATTGAAAATAATTTTATAATATTTATTATTAACTTATTAATGCTTTTGTAATAAATATTTTAAATTAAATTTAATTGAAGTGAGTTAAGGTAAATTAAATTTATCATATATACACAATTAAATTTATTTTATTGTATATTATTTTTAGATATATTTTATTAAATATCTAATACAAATTTAATTTTAATTTCGCTTAATTGTGTTGGTTAATTGTGAAGTGTAAACATGATATAATTTATTTACCTCGCAATAAAGTTTATGAATACAGATATAAATATTTTTAGGCATAAGCATAATTATACTATGTATAACATATGCAATATATTATTGTAAAATTAGAGGTCACACTCGCAAAAAGTGAGTTTATTTTTTTTATTTTTATGTAAAAAATATGGTATGTACATTTATGATAAAATTTGTAAAACAAAATCCACGGTATATAAATTATGACGCTGTTGATCATCCACTTTCGGACTTTGAAGTAAAGCATAAAGTAGCAAATACTAATCTCAATCTAACTTTATTAGGGGAGTAGACAATGATGTCGCTTTAAAAATACACAACCTTTCTTAATTCCAGTTCTTTTGTTCATCTACAAATCATAACTTATGCATAGGGTCGTGAAAACGTTGGGGTTTTCACCACAATGCCTGTTAAGCATTGTGCCCGATGGAGTCTCACTTCTGTTTAAGTATTCTGTAGTTCTAATTTGACTGATTCAAGCCAATATAGCAATAGATATATGACTGATATGACTGGTTTATAGAAGAATAAAACCATTTTTAACCTAATTTATTCTAAGAAATGTAAGATCCTCTGCTCAGCTCTTATTTGTTACTATGCTTCAGAGATATGTTATATGCGCTCTAGTTCCTTAATTTCTAAGCAACTAGTATAAGATACAACTATAGTTGTGCTGGTTAATAATCTGGTTCCTTAACCTAATTGTAAGTAAACCGTTCTTTTAGGAGTTTATGTACAGTTTTAGATTGCTTTAGATTACTATGAAAGAGCTAAAGAAACTATTTATATACAAAATATTGTTATATCTCTTCTTTAAGGCCTATCTTTTCATTTGTTGTTTTTCTTTATTCCTACCATACTCTTCAAAGATAAAGCGAAACATAATATCTTTGAATTGCCGTTTTTCGTACTGCCTAGACATAGTACCCAAAACAACGTTCTTTTATTTCCCTAAAAGACTAAACAATAGTGAAGATATAGACAAAATCATACAACGAGATCAAGACTATCCCTAGAGAAGTGCTTCAACAGTATTTCTCAAAATGGAAACTACGTGGGCACAAATATATAATATGAAAGAAGAACTACTTTGATGTAAGTACTTTTCAAGGTATTGGTATCAACATCAAATATTAAAATAACACATTTAAAAAAAATTAAAAATCCCGTTAAATTCTGATCCTGTAACTAAAATTAGCGATGAAAAAAAAAATAAATCCTATATTTTCTTCTGTACCAATAGACATTGATGGAAGTACTTGCATTTATTCGTTTTTAGTTTTAGACGAGATATAGAAAGGTTAATCAATAAATTCAAATACTAAAAGTGATAATCGAAAGCAAGAAGTCGCTAACGTTTGCATGCAAAAGACAATTATATATAAAAAGCTCCAGAGATATATAAAAGCTCCGTGATATATATTGCGTATATTTATTTTTATGCATTTATATATAAATTAAGTTGTAAATAAGCGTATGCAGTCCGCGAAAATATACATTCATTATCATTTTCGATTGCACTGGCTCAACTGATAAGGGTTTGTCAGTAAAGAAATCAGTTTGTTTTTGCTCTTCAATCCGCTGAGTTAAATTCTTTTATAAAGCATCGAGAATGCTTTCTATATTATTTTTAGCGGGAATTTCGTTGTTCATTTGGTTGTGTCTTGTACATTATAAGATCCATACATACTTTAGATATAAGAATGTACCGTTTATACCTCCATGTTCTTTATTCGGTAACATTAAGAACCTGATGCTGTATCGTTGCTGTTTTGGAGAACAATTTTACCAGCTCTATAATCATGATACATTAAGACTGAAAAGTTTTCGGAAATTCTCATTTAAAATTCGCGCGCTGTATATTTTTCGATATTTTAAGTTTATGTAGTTTGGCAGCACTGTCCTTAATTACTATGCCAAAAATGAGCTCGATCTGTCAGACAGTTCGTTTACGGCAGCTGTTGAAACCAGTTCACCTCAGTAGTGCGTTGCGAAATGTCTTCGACGGTCGTACGACCGTCCTGGAAGGCTTTGTACCACTCATAAACTTGAGTTTTCGATAAAACTGATTCCCCATAAGCCTTTTGTAGCATTCGCAACGATTCTGCACACGAAATTTCGTTCGAAACACAAAATTTGATGCAAACTCTTTGTTCAATATTTTTTTCCATTGTTTTTTTCGCAACGCCCTACTGAGGTGAACTGGTTTCAACAGCTGCCGTAAACGAACTGTCTGACAGATCGCGCTCATTTTTGGCATAGTAATTAAGGACAGTGCTGCCAAACTACATAAACTTAAAATATCGGAAAATATACAGCGCGCGAATTTTAAATGAGAATTTCCGAAAACTTTTCGGTCTTAATGTATATGTCTGAAAAAGGATGAATCAATTGTTGGTATTCATGTATTGCACAATCAAGCAATACTGCTCCGTTCATCAAAGCTAATAAAACAAATTCTAATCAGCGATTTCAGTGCATTCGCTAATCGCTTTGAGACGACCGATATCGATGGCGACACAATGGGTTCTTTGAATTTATTTTTTGCAAAATATGATGTTTGGAAAGATATCCACAAAATATTTTCACCACTATTTTCACATGGAAGAGTGAAGTTAATGTTTCCAAATTTACTAAAGGTATGATTATCTATTATTATTAATTATCTGTTACTTACGTTTCGCATGCAAATTTTTTCATAAACTTATTTTTTTTAAAGATTGGCAGAAATCTTGAAAGTATGCTATGCGAAGAAAATTTTAATGAAATAGATAATTCAGTTATTTTGGAAATGAAAGAGTTATGTGCTCGTTTCACCACCGATACCATTGCATCACTTGCTTTTGGTATAGAATCGAAGTGTTTGGAGGGTGGAGATATTTCTGGTCTACGAGGGATGTGTAAAGAAGTGAATGAACCACACCTGAAACGTGTTCTACATCTTTTCGTTATGTTTTTCTTTCCACGTTTTGCGAAAATATTGCGCACTCGTCTCTATTCAAGGCAATATGAGCATTTTATGCGGAATCTGGTGGAATATGTGATGGAACATCGGAAAAATGGAGGTGAAGTTCGCAACGACTTAATAGATATTTTCTTACAATTACAATGCAATGAATTGAATCATAAAGAAAGTGTTGTGAATAAAAAAGATTTCTTCGCAGCACAGGCAGCATTTTTACTACTAGCTGGTTTTGATACTTCTTCATCGACCATTAGTTTTACACTATATGAGTTGGCTAAGAAACCCATCTGTCAAATTCGTTTACGCAAAGAAATTACAGAGATGTTACATGATTCCAACAATAGTCCCACATATGACAGTATTAATCAAATGCCTTATTTGCGCATGGTCGTAGATGAAGTATTGCGTCTATATCCACCAACAGCATTCTTAGATCGTTGTTGTACTGCTGAAAAAGGTTATTCGTTGGCACCATATTCTAACTTTACAATACCTAAGGGTATGCCAATATATATTTCGGTGTTAGGACTGCATAGAGATGAGAAGGTAAGTCCGCACATAAATTTTCTAAATCTTATCAAATACTAAATAAAAATCGTTTACGGTTATTTATTGTAGGAATAATACTAAATAATACATAATACAAAATTATCAATTGTTTCAATTTTGAAGTATACACCGTAGTATATCACACATGTCGATATATATTATATATAATATATATTATATATTCATTAGCTATATCTATTTACAATAGTTAAGGGAATTTTATTCCACAATAAAACATGCTAAGATGATATTAAAAGAGCTTTTGTGGTACAACAGACTTTGAACAAAGTGAACAACCTTTTGAGAAGAATAGTGTTTCTAATTGCAGATGGAGCTAACAAATTTTACCTCTGTTCCTAACACTGACCTATAAAAAAGCCATGTGTTTACTAAAAATACAACTAGAGGCTGAGACAGAGACAATTTTCTATTAAAATAATTAATTTTTACGTCATCGGTTATCCCAGTAATGACGTTTACAATTTTTAACGAATCTTTTTCTTACCGCTTCTTCGACTGCTGGTATTATACTTAAAGGATGGTGTAATAATGTTGTGTGTATCTTAGAATTGATATCATCAAGCACCTTTGATTTATTTTCTTTATGGACTATATTAGTACCTCCATTGATCCTTCTTATAATTCTAGACTGACGTTTATTTTTTTATAAAATTAAACTACGCAGTTCAGTGCTACTTTTTTCTCTTCTTTCAGTTATATCCTTAACCTTAAGGATATGTGGTGTTTCGTTTTCAATCTTGTTTGTTGTTTTGGAAAAGCTTTGGGGTCTTTTCTCAAATAAATTTTTTGATCAAGTTTGTCCTTAAATTTTAATGTAGATCATAATTTTTGACATACCATATCGCGCTAAGAATGTCTTTGATCACCCTTTTTAGTATAGTTTGTAAAAACTTGATTGTACTATTTGATACTTTTCCAAACGGTACACTTTCATACAGTTACCTTAATGTTATTGTTGTTTTGTAGAGAAGTAATGTTATAAAGATTTCACTTCCATATAGTTAGCTCGCCCTGCACAGTTTATTTTATTAACAAAATTTTCCAGTAACATATTGTACCTACAGATTTTAAATGTTAATTGCTAATATTTCTATGTAAACCTTCTATCTACAGTTTATATCCAGATATCTTCACATTAAGTATCAAACCCATTAATCTTTAATTTCTGCAATTTTGTCGAGTAACTCTATCTTTCAAATTTGGAGTTAGTGCTCTTCTTTATTGATAAACCTATACCTCTGAGAAGAACAACTTATACGTTTCCGTAAGAGACTTCCGGGTGCGAATTCTTATTTCCAGCTATGGTTCAGAGCTGCATACTATATATTCAACATTTTGTATAATATATTCTGTTGTATATTTGCTCCACTTTTTCTGTAGTATTTTATAAATTTACATTTTATACAAAGCAAGTAAATGTTATAGCTTTGCATACATTTTTAAGAATCAATGACTATATATCTGATGAAATGTATGATAACTTCATGTTGCTGAGTTACTTAAAATCTCTCCTGATTTCCTTCAGATATATTTTAAAGGTTTAGGAAAATGTTTCTATTATTTAGGGTATATAATATCCATTTAATCAGATAAAATCTTCACGTTTATTGCGAAATACATATCTCTGTGCAATCTTCAGTTAAGCTCGTATATTTTTTATGTGATTTAATATTTTAATTAATGTTGCGGTGATAATATAGTTTAAAATACAAAACAACCTATATTTAAGTTAAATAATTAATAAAAGTTTCTGTTTTTTTAGTTCTGGCCAAAACCAAATGAGTTCATGCCAGAACGTTTCTCTGATGAAAACCGTCATAAAATCACATCAATGTCGTATCTTCCGTTTGGAAATGGACCACGTGGCTGTATTGGCTCAATTTTAGGCCTGATGCAAGTAAAAATTGGATTGATTTATATATTAAAAAACTATTACATTACACCATGTAAGAAAACAGCACCAGAAATGTGTTTTGATCCAAAGACATTTGTCTTGACAGCGAATCAGGGAACATACTTGCGCTTTGTTAAGGATCCTCTTATAGAAAATCACTAAAATTAATTATTTATTTAATTATTTATTTATATTAATTAAATTTTCATTATAAATAACACCTATAACGACTGTATTTATTTAGTAATTAAAAAAAATTATTAGTATGTATTGTTTTAATAGAGTATCAGTGAAAAGTATGAAAGTTGCTTTGTTTAAGATGATAGATACTTCCATTTATCAGTCATCATAATGTGAAGCTAAAAAAATGACAGTATACAGTTATACACATGAAACCCGTGGGTCTCGTAAAGTAACCACATAGAGAACGAAGTAAAGGTGCTCGAATACTTTAACTTCATAAATGTATTTACACGCATATCAATGATAAGGAAGTTGTACCAGAAAAAGTTTAACGTATCTAATTTATTCCAACTTATTTATAAAATTAAATTAAAATCTAAAATGATACTACGAATATATAAGTAACGAGGGGGTTTTTTAATTCACATGACATTCATAAGGTAATTTTGTCTACGAAGTCTAAAAACTCCTTGGATGCTGATGAAATAATCGCAATAGCTTAACATGAATCTCCTATGGCGATTCCAGATATAAGCCGAATCACCTATTTGCGCGAGTATATCATCAGAGTGAAAAGTAGTAGCCTTCATTGCAATAACAAAAAGATGTCTTAACTGGAGAGGAATTTCGCTATTACCATTCATCACTAAAATTTTTATAAAAATTATACTAGGTATATCAAATCGCTGGACCATTTAAAAATGTTGGTTTTTAATAATGACAGTCTTGTGTAAACCATATTAGCACTTTATAAATTTTAATCGAGTATTTTGTAGAATACAATTCGAATCTTAATCTTAATTCTGTTCATTCGAAAATATGCCTGATACTCTAAAATGATCTTACGAGTATGTGAGGACTATTAAAAGAAAAACATATAGTAGATTTTGTAACGAATACCTAAGATTGACCATTAACCGAGTATTGCAGTTAGTGATCCATTTTTGTTGATTAATGGTATTAGAAAAAAATATTCGTTATTTCTACAATTCTTTTAACAAACTATAAAAAGAAATATATTAGAGCCTGCAGCACAAATTGAGTGATGATGATTTTGTCACAATTTATTCACTTAATGATTCAGAGTTTCATATATATGTAACAGAAATCTCTAGAATGTCCTCCAGTTCATAATGAATTTTCACATCGCAGATGATATCGATAAGTGATTAAAAGCAACAAAACAGCATTATTTACCAATCTAAAGAAATTCTGCAGTCAAAAGAGTTTTGTTTCTTGATTAACATATGATGTGAAGTTTCTATCAACCTCGATCATTAATAAAATTCAAATATTCAGGTATTACACATATATCTATATAAGTCTATATCAGTTAGTACGGATATGGTTGTAAGAACGAATGTCCATAAACATTTGTGGATCATAATTCTGCAACAAGTAATGAGTAAACAAATTATTAGATGAAAATAGAGTTAGATGGGGCACATATCAAGAAAGCTTATGAATGTGATTTCTAAAGAAAATAGAAAACGAGAACCGACACTTGACTGGATTCCTAATGAAAATAGACAACGAGAACCGACAAAAATCTTAATTAAACAATTAAGAAAAATGATCGGGTATTGAGAAATAAATCACACCTATGTTCAAGTCAATATAAAATTTTTCGGGTCTTAGGCTTAGCGGTATTGAAACAGCTGCTGAGAAATAAATTTTTAATGTGGCTTTTTTAAAAGAGAATGATTAGTTATTGTCTTCATTCTCTATTGTGTCTTCAACACAATATAAAATTTCTTTGTTCTTTGTCGAAATTAGTAAAAAATTGATTAGGAGCATAAGTTGATATACGTGAGAGAAATCTCTTTTATAAAAGAAAGAGCTTTTAATATATATTGAAGACATTTTAGCTTTACTTTGTATATATGATTCAGTTATTTTTGGATCAATAGAGAAACAAGAACGTCATTTAATGAACTGATAGCACATAAAAAGAATTATTGAAAATAAGCTGTGTTGCTTTCAATAATTTTTGAGCAGTAATTGTTGTATGTCATACTAATAAAAATAATAATAATAATAAAATAAGGCTCTATATTAAATGTAATCCTGTCACAATAATGACAACCTAATTTAGAGAAAATTTTATTATAGAGGTATTTTGTAGAGAGGTATTATAGAGGTAGGGTACAGAATACCCTATGATATATAGACATATTTAACCTCTTAAACAAGGTCATAATATTTTCTGAAATGATACATTTTTTTATTCTATAATTTACTATTAAGTGAAAATGATTGAGTATGAGGAAAATTCTTGATTTGAAATGCTTTAAAATATTCGTGTGATGTACTATTGTGGATATGATATTTGCATATTCAGCGCTAACTTCCATATTTTAGCACAGTTGCAACAATAAAATAATTACCCAAGAAGTTTAAACGAATAACAACTCCTCTGGTACAAATGTCTGCTCCAACCCCATTTTTGTTTGTACATCTAAATATTTATGAGGTGGCAGCAGAAAATTAAGTGCAAACAATATTCCAAGCTTATGTTCTGGTTACCGGTACATGTGTATCCCCCAACTTCCAGGTTGTTGAATAAACTTTTCTGCTTGTTTTGCAAAAAAATAATTATCAATAATATTCAGGAATCATTATTAATTAAGCAGAAACCGATGGTTTCATTTACACATGGGCATAATTATTGCAATTTAGTAATGAACATAGGCAGTCTAACTTCAGTATTACGCAAATAAATTTTTTTTTCATTTGATTATTTAAAAATAGTTTATAAAAATATGTTTATATGTTTATAAGTGGAACTGATGTTATATGTAAAAAATTTTAGTGAATATCCTAACTGAAATATTTAGTTTTTATTTTCATAAAAGTATTATCAATGTAATTTATGTCTCTTAGACTCCAGATAAAACTATTTTTACTTCCAATAATAAGGCAATAGTACTTATCATCAGTCACCTAATCAGAACCTTGTGATGAGACAATACTTAACACAGCTAGTAGAATTAATAAAAAAAGTTATATCTCACTTATGATAATTTTGCAGTTACTACACCCATTTAATTATATTTTGTTTCAGTACTAGTTCCAAGAATAATTTAAAGGATCAATTTCGCCGAACTTTGAACAATTGACCGCCACAGATCTAATGAAAGCAGAATAGTAATATCACGTGCTGATCCAATTTTTGAATTTAACGGCTTTAATACAATCCCCATCACGTTTTCGCTCAAGAGTTTTGCTGTATGAACAGTAATAACACAAATTGATTCTTTTCTGTATTGAGTTAAATTAATCTTCCTTATTAATATATATAGTTCTGATAGTGAAAAATATTAAATAAAAACAATCACCCACGCTTTAAATTTATTAGCCCCTTTTCAGAGGAACTCCACTCCCATATAACCTATTTGTTTAGTTACTACAATATTCGGAAAATAAAACATAATTTCATTAAAATATTTTCTTCTGATGACCCAACGATACTTACTTATAAACTCAAACACTTTGGAATTATATTCTGTACTAATCACAAATTTCTTCCTTATGTTAATCAAATTTGTAATATAATGTAGCGAACTTAACCTAAGTTAAGTTACCATTTATTTACGGATAGATATCCAATCTGGTTTGGTGTACGCTGAGCACATATAGAGCATTTTTATCTGCTAGAAAGGAAAATCGTTCGTAATTGCTTAAATTATAATTGTAATGGGTTATCAAAAACAACTTATCTCTTTTTAAATTAAAATTTAATGAAATAAAGTAAAATTTAACAAAAAATATTGTTTAAAAATTTATTTAAACATAATGTCACAATGAGTAACAATCAATGAGTAATTGGACAGTTTTCGTTGGAGAAAGTGCCATCCAATATTCGTATCTGCTTTTTAATATAAATATATATTTTGTAAATGGAAACATTAAGGCAGTTCAATCTTTCATCATTAAATCAAAACCAGTAAGAGAGTGTTAAGTAGAAATCAACAGACTAAATCAAGTCGCGACTCATATAGATGTCTGATCATAAAAACATTGAAGTGAATAAAAAAGCCAACAGCTTAGCCAGCTTTTACATTCCTATAAAAATCTCCCTAGGGGTACCGGTATCTGTTTCCCTAGACCCCGTTTAGAGAGCCACATATCTTCTCGTTTTGCAGCTTGTTAATAATAAGTGGCAGTAACTCACAGTATATAAAATCTCCGAATCGACTTAGCCTACATACAATAACATAAGGTTTATCAAACTTATTAATAGGGACCGAGCCAATATTGTCAGACTAATTGCAATCCTTTCAAATCGCTGGTCACTGTAGGATTCTACCCATAAAAACTGCAAAACTCACAGAAACTCGCATAAAAAATAGACAATTACACACTTTCTCTGTGATTAACTAGCTTCAGCTAACAGACAAATAGGTTCTTAAACAAGTATTTTCTAGACAGTCTGTCAAACTATTCAACAGTAAGAACAAAGGATCTCTTTAACTAAAAGACAAGAGTTTTTTGAGAGGAATATGATATTAAAATGGCAAATACTTTATAATTATGTGAGGCGGAAGGACATCAGCTGATTAGCCACTATAACCAACCAACCAGTGTTAAAAACAAAAGTTTTTACTCGCTGAGATGTACGCTTCTTTCTATTTTAAGGGAAATACATATAATAGAGATGCCCAAATTTCAAACATAGATTAAAAAACTATCAAATTGATGTATTAATAACAATAAGATTATTTTGAAATTAGCTTATACACAGGAATAATAAAATTAATTTGGATAGGGGTCTGTACATGTCACTATCATGAACAGAAACGATAACGAGTCAAAGTTGAAGTTAAATGAGGTTTATACCAAAAAAATGGGACAATAAAATGTCTTATTAGCAAAAATATATTTACACAAATATCAACACTTATCTGCAGAAGCAGTCAGGAGTAGTCTGTGCAAAAACCTCCGGTTCTATCCAGACAAAATGTTTACTCTTTGGAAGTTTCTACTTTCAAGACTTGACAGACCTTGGTAAATTTAATCTAATAAAAATGTTGAGTTTGGTAATGGAAACGAAGTGGTTTACTAGAAGTGGTTGTAATGATAAGGTGTTATTACTATTTTTAAAGGCCACAATACACTGCCACAAGAAAAGGTATATTCTTCATTGGTTTACAACTCTGTAATTAGACTTTATATAAATAAAACCAATTTTTAAATCAATTAATAACGAGTGTTTTGTACATGCATAAGTGTATTCTCGGTATTCTGTATGTATATAGAAACCAAAATATTATATTTATGGCAATCCTCGGAAAAGAATTAAGTATTTTGCAAAGGTTATTTTTACTTACTTAAGTATGAAATTCATACAAAGCCAAATTTTATTAAAGGGCGGAAAATTATATACATTATCATATAACTTGCTTTTAATTGTTATACACATTAATATCAGACATTTTTATTGGCATTTTATATTTTACACACTTAATTTAATATATTTATTTAATCATTTCATTGATGTATTTACTATCTCACAAGATTTTTAATTAATTATTTATGACCATAAATTCAGTTGTATTTAATTTTTAATTAATTGGTTATAGTTATTACAATATTGATTTACTCGTTTATGTTATTGTTTAAATCTATCTACGTATATAACTAATCTGCTTGACGCTCTCATATAACATATAAATTAATGCATTAAATATTTGTATAAATTAATTAAAATATTTGCGTTTTTATTTTAAATGCTTCGTGTTAACCGAATATATTTTGAAACAAATTATTTAAAATTTTTAAAACTAAATTTAACAAATGTACATTAAAAATAAATAATGAAAATAATTTTTTTTTATATATCTATTTTATATTTTTGACTCAATAAGCAAATGTTACATACTTAAAAAAATCCATTTCATTCAGTTTTGTATATATATATGTTTTCAATAACATTTTATTTTATTTCCATTTTTATTTGTGTAATTTTAAATTGGTTATATGCTAAAATACAAATACTTTTTATTTAGTTTTTATATATATTTACTTTCTTTTTAATATTTAACCATGGCGTTATGCATTGCGTTCAAAATAGCAAGCAAATTATAGTAATAGTCAACATGGAAGTTGCATAATAGTTGGAAAAAAAAAATGAAAATAAATAAAAAAAAAATAAAAAATAAAATAAAAAAAATAATAGAGAAAAAAAATAAAATAAAAAAATAAAATAAAAACTAAACAAAATAAAATAAAACCTAAACAAAATAAAATAAAACCTAAACAAAATAAAATAAAACCTAAAAAAATATAAAATAAAACCTAAAAAAAATAAAATGAAAAACAAAAATAAAATAAAAAAAAATAAAAGAAAAAAAAACCTAAATAAAAGAAAAACCTAAAAAAAATTAAAACTAAAAAAACCAATAAAATAAAAACTAAAAAAAAATTAAAAAAAGTACTAATTCAAAAAAAAAAATTATATAAAAAATTTATAAAATAAAAATTTATAAAATAAAAATTTAAAATAAAAATAGAATAGAAATTCAATAATAAAATAAAATAAAAATTAAATAAAAAAAATACAAAAAAAAAAAATAACAAAAATTATAAATTAAATAAAAATATAAATTAAATAAAAATATAAATTAAATAAAAATATAAATTAAATAAAAATATAAATTAAATAAAAATATAAATTAAGTAACAATATTAAAAAATAATTAGTAAAAAGTAATATATTGATAAAATTTTTATTTTATTTACTTATAGAATTTAAGCGGCAGCGAATGGAATTTATTATGAAATGTTTGTATATATATTTATATTTATTAATATTTAATGCCTAAATACTTCTTAGTGTAACATGACTGATTCTTAAGCAGCTAATCACATATATTAAGCCAATTTTTACAACAAGAATGTATACAATACCAATAAGCATTTACTAATATTGGGTTAGCGTTTTCTATAACAATATAATATATTAATATTTTTCATATATTATTTACTTATTTTAAATCAATGGTTTATATTCTACTTAATTCGAAAATAAACTCCAATAAAAACAGAACTTAAGGAAATTTACAAATATTGTTTTGGATTGTGAAACTAATTAAAGATAATTAACAAAATTAAAACAATTTGTAGTTTCAATGAAATGCATATTTACCAAAACATTATATAAAAATAAAAATTATATAGATAAAGAACTAATTTCATAATACACACTGAAGTTAAATAACCCTTAAGTGTTAAATATTGTGCACTAAAGTGTCACTTAAAATTTAGATAAATAGCACTTTAGTATCAAATTTGCACTTAGGTGGCATAATAAAGTTAGTCCCAAATAGTTCAAATAAATATACGATAACAGTAATTTCTAAATAATATTTAATTTGTTGTTTATATGGAATAAAATCTGTTAAAAAGCGTGCTAAAAATTTTGTACCGAAAAACTATAATAATATATAAAAAATCAGTAATAAAAACAATATCAAATTGTTTATTAAAAATTTAATACACGCATATAATTTAAATAGATTTCATTGATAAATAAAATAAATGACAATATAAAACAAAATTTTTTCGTTAATAAATGATTATTTTCCAAAGTATTATAATAAATATTTATAAATAGTTTTGAGCTACTTGTTGGTTTTATTTTTATCAAATGTGGTGTTATACTTATAACAACTACGAATAGTTATATTATTTCTTCTTAACGAACAGTTGACTATAACTTTTAGTCTTTTTTATCGATAATATTTGAATTGAATAAGAAGAAGTTGAAGTTGAAGCGTAGGACTTCAAAATTTATCAAGTATTAATAATACAAACTATACTGATAATTCAAAAATACGTATGTATTGTACAAAATTATTTTTTAAAAAAATGTATATTATTAGTTACAAAACAAACTTTATTTCCAATATTAAATTGATAATATGTTAGCAAAAAGTGCGAATAATAAAATTACTAACTCATAAAAGTAATAGGTTTTTATTTAAAAGTATTGTATTTTGATACTTATAATGTATGTACATAAATTAAGAAAAAAAAAAAAAAAACTAAATTAAATCACATTATGAACCCAATATTTTGTTATTATTACATGATTGGCATAGTATATAATATAAATAATTTTTACTTATCTAAAGTATCTATAAACGTTTAACGTTGATGTTTTTAACTGTATTCTAGTTGTATTGCAATGGCTTAATAACTTAGCGTTAGTAGTAGATTTTGTATATATACATCTACATATGTAATTTAAAAATTTTCTTTTATTTCATATATGTATATTTTAAAAAATTAGTTAATTGCAACAATTTTATTACTATGCACTTTCTGTATAATATATTTATAGCATAATACATATATAAATATATTTATATATATATACATATATATATAATTAACAAATATAAATATATATATATATAAATATATATATATACATAAATACATATATGTATAATTATTATATATATAAAAATATATATAAATATATTAAATAATTATTAGTCCATTTCTAATAGTCTTTTAGTGACCAACGTAATTTACGCTACTATCTTGGATTTTCCATGACGACCTGCTTGAAGGCGCCTGCAGATACACGGGATTTTACTTCATGACTACCCAAAGAAGCAGTACCGTCACGTGCTATATACAGTTGAAGCCCAGAAGCTGTAAAAATAAATAAAAAATTATTATTACATATAAAACCAACAAAGGCAAAAAAAAACATGCATACATTTTTTGGTCTATATTATGGAAACTATAGCTTTTTTCTAATAGAAAAAAGTTTAATAATGAAAAAATTGTTGAATTCAAATTTTTTAATTAAGTATATTTTTAAACTGACCAAATAGCGGTTTCGGGTATCTAGAAATATACACCATCAGTGGCAGATATAAACATCTATTGGTTTTATTGTCAATCTATAGTTTTTAGAGTTGATGTGTCAGGTATGGAACCCAGTATTATTGAAACTGTGAATGCGTGTATCAACGCATTCACAAAACCAACGTATTATAAGAGCTATATTGTAAGTTAGCTAAATCTTACAAATGCCCAACGCGATTTCTCACTATAATTTCACAAATAAAATAGATTTTTCGTGGCTTATGGTATTTCGTGGCTTCGCTGCTTGCCGGTAACGAAACAGTTTACTATTAACAAAATAATGTTTAAACCAAACTCCGCAATAAGTTTTTGAGCTTGTTAATATATATATATATATATATATATTACCCAATATATAGTAGGTAATTTTTTAATGATAGAGATGCAAGGGGCTGAAGTGTGTGCCTCAACGGGAGAGTGATGCGAATACACGGCTTAGCCTCCTCAATACCCCACCTCACCTATACGTGGTGTATCCTGTTCTCGCATACGAAGGTTTGACGACCAAGCACATGCGGTATAACCTGAAAACACCTAGCAGAGGGGAAACTGTCTAGCTACCAAAAACCAATTTTATTCCCAGATTGATCGCAAGGTCAGCAGACTCGCATCAGAAAAATGCACCCGCTACGTAACCTTCTTTTAAAAGGTGGCCAAGGTTCACACTGGACTGTAATGCCAAATAAGAAGAATTTGTCATTGATAATTGTTTTACAATATTTCATTTTCTGTTATGGTCTCTAGTAGCGAAGGTATGAGTTTAAATAAGTAGTACAAGTACATAGATTAAATATAATATGTTTTTCGTAATATTTTAAAGTAATTTATTGATATCAATATTCAGGCTTCTTAAAGGATGATAATGCCATCCCTGAGTACACACTCAGGGATGAGTTCCAACCATTTGTCTTAGCATTTCTTCCATTCCACTTAGGATACGTTCAAAACATGGTTTTTAAGGCATTAACGATTTCTTCAGCGAAAAAAACATCGTTGTTTATACATTTAAGTTTTATGTGAGGGAACAAAAAAAAAACTCATTGCGCTTATCATATCAGGACTAAATAGTAGATGATATTAATTCAATGTTTTAAAGCCTTAAAACCTCATTTGTTTGAGCCTATCTATAAGAGTTGTTGTAGAGAATTATCCTCTTTTACCAATTAGTTTTCTTCATTTCTCCAAACATAACTATTGTAACTTAAGAGTAAAAACGCCTTGATGCTCAGTGTCAATGTGTTTGTTTCTTTAAGTATACAAGAGAGGCTCAATTGAAAGATTATTTAAAATAGGGTTAGACTGAAGAATACTTAGTGGTGTTAATACTCAGAATATAAGTAACAACCTTTATACAAAGATTCGTATGATATGCTGAAAATACATACCATATTCCTAATTTGATTGAAAATATAACTTTAATGTATCGAAAAATAATACTTACTCTCTGCGGATTCTTCAAGTTGATCAAGTTTTGTATCTTTCAAGATTTCATCAATTAAAGAGTTAGGATTGACGCGAGTTTCTTCGACACGATCAGCTACACGTGGACCATCATCTAGCGGACCTTTTTTACGTTTTTCTGCAGAATTTTTCATGCGATCTAGAGATCCTGATTCACTTATAACTAATGAACCACAACTGGGGTTCCTGATGATCATATCGATTTCATTACAAGCGTTGATATTTGAGTTTGGAATTCAAATGAAATGATAAAAATAATTTGATGTTATTTATATTTTATTAATAATTTTTTAAATTAGTCATTTATATCGTGTAAAGAGTACAGACATACATATAAGGACAATTAATACAAAACAATGCAAAGACAATGAGATTACCATGAAATATTTTGTAAATGTTAAAAAATTTTGTGCTTAGAAAGAAATTTAGTGTTAAGAAGAGCAAATTAGTTCAGTTGTTACTTTGTATGTGTGAACATGAGTACTTAAATTAATTCAAAAGTTATACAGTAAATGCTATATCATGTGAATGCAATCCATAGTTAGTGAAAAACAATATTTTTTATACATGTAATATATATGCATAAATTAAATTATAAAAATAAAAACAACAAAAAAAAATGTTTAGTAAATATTTTTTGTTGTGCATTTTTATTTATTTTTTTGCAGTGCAGAACCTAGAGAACGTTAATATAGAAGCACATGAAATGGAACTTACTGAAATATTAAATATATACGAATCAAAAACATAGAAAACAGAAACATAGAAAAACATAGAAAACATAGAATGATACGAATGAAATCTACATTATGATTTGATGTTAGTTAAAATAAAAACAATTTTCCTTTTAGCAAATAATATTGTAAATTAAAATTTCTTTAAGTTAATTAAAAAATGGATTCGATCTTAAACAATTTTAATATTAGAACTGAATTATTTGAGACAACTAATGAAGTTTTCTATATATCATTTAATATAAAGAATATCATGAGTAAAAATACAACTTATCTTTGAAGTTGAAGCGGATTTGAATACTTTTTATAACGATTTGTTATCGATTTGGCATTCTGTATAAAGTTATCATCTTAACTAATTTAACTGATGATATTTGAAATTGATTCAATACTTTTATATCTATATATTTTAAAATTTTTAGATATCTAATAAACCATATTTTAATTCAATTCTCATTAAAAAAGCTAGTTTTTATTTTTATTTCTAGATATTAAAGCGAAATAAAAAAAAATCAGTGTTGCCTATTTTATTACTATTCTAGTACTTTTATTATAAAATTGTGCAAACTAAAGCTCCGTGGAAATGTAAAGGCATATAAATGTCCATCCATGTATAATATCCATCCATACATCTATTTTATGTATTTAATTGATCGATATTTCTACTTATTCGTATTCATATCTATTGACAAAAAAATTTGATTACTCTATTTTCGTCGATTGTAACACAGTTCTTCAAAAGTGTATTATGAAAAATGTTTTGAATTGTATTACCTCAAATGGTATCTTGAATATATTTATTGTTTATTTTAAAAACAAAAAAATTTTTTTTGCACCTATCATTCAAGATGTGAAGTCGAAATGAACACCATTTCTAAGATTGAAAATCAGAGTAATTGCCTTGACAACATATCTTAAATTTGCATTTATCAATGTTTCTTTTTTATTGGTTATATATGTCTATTGATATTTCTGTCGATTGACATTTATCAACAATATTTTTATTAATCGCTTTTTAATATATCGATATTTCTATTTATTATAATACATATTTAGGCTTCTGGTATCTATATTTCAATCTATTGACATTTTAATCAAACAATATTTCTAACTATCAATACATTTACATATTTCCAATAACTTGCACATGATTTACTCTATTGGTTTTTTTTTCATCAGGATTTATATCTATCATTGAATTGCTATATAGGTATTTCAAACTGTTGATAATTTCATCTAATCGCTATTTTTAGTTATGATATATATGGTCATATATCACCAATCATATTTATTAATATTTTTATCTATCAATATTTTTAATTGGCGTAATTTCTGTCAATATTTCTATCTATGCTAACATATATCTCATCCAGTGTTTTTATCTATTAATAGATCCAACTATCTACTGATATTTTTATTTACCATATTTTCTGACTACACTTATTATGTACTTATCATCAAAAATATATATCAGTGTTTTTATTAATTAATAGTTTTATTGACATTTTTATTTATTAAAATTTCTGCCTATCAACATTTATATCTAGTAATGTTTATTTTAGTTATTGATATTTCTAATTACTAACATTTATGTTAGCAAATCGACTACTCTGATCTTTTAGTAAAAGTATGTAAAAACAAAAACAATTTTTTTCCCTGCGCATTAACCTAAATATACTAATATTTATATTTATTAATATTATTGTTTATACCTTAAGCATAAATATTTTTATCTCAAAATTTTTCAATATATTGATATTTCTATGTAACGATATTTTTTTTCTCAATATTTTCATTTATTTTTACCTATATTAACTATATTTACCTCTGTTGTTATTTTTAATTAGTAAGGATTTTCATCTACTGATATTTTTATCCTTGATATATTTATTTAAGCATATTTCTTTATATTATCCAAAGTTTAGAATTAATTTTTATTGAACTTAAAGTGATTATCGTCAGAATAGAGATATGTTGTGAAGATATTTCGGTTAGGTATAAAGGCCATTAATGTTTGGACACAACTATTGGTTATTGTAACTGTCTTAAAATTGTCAATAAGAGGAGGACTATACTAACTATTGAAAAGGTATTTGCTAAAAAAAAAATATTATTCGGCTTTGGCGGGGTTGAGCAGTCATCTTGAAAACAATAGATGTCAACCAAAATATTATTACATATATGCAAAATTTTTTGATCCCAAATGCTTTTGGTATAGATAGTATAGAGCAAAAATTTGATTACTTGTATTTTTGTCGAGTGTAACAAAATTTTTTATTACAAGAAAAAGGTTTCAAATCTTTCAAATTGTATTATCTAAAATAGTGTCTGGAATATATTTATCTATAATATTAAGTTTTATTTACATATTTTGAAAAAAAATATAAAACCTTTCAATGTTAATTTTTTTTTTTTTTGCCGAAAGTGACTATTTAAAAGTTAGAAGGGTTCGAATAGAAATGAAAAGACAACAACAAAAATTTTAATTAATTTATTGAAGTTTGACTGACCATACAACGCTGTTTCGAGTATTGCCAAGTACTCATCATCAATGGTCTTAGGAAATATTCAACTTTTTCTAATGAGTTTATGGTCCGTATATAATCTGTTTGTACTGCAATCGGCTGTCAAATTAGAAGCAATGACTAATCGTGGCTTTTCACAAGTAGCCAAGGCTGAACAAACTTTCAATGCTCAAGTTCCAAGTATTTTGTGTATTTTTTTTTTTTTAAATGACAAAGCAGTTGGCGTGCTTTAAATTAGAACGAGCTTATAAACTACAGCTTCATTTGGAAACATAACTTCATGAAAGCTAATTCTTCAGGTTGCCTATTTTTATTTCAATACTATTCTTTTTGCAAAGACATCTGTTATGCGTATTTCTGTTTACTTTATATAAAGCGCCTTTCTTGGATACAATTCTACAAAGAAGAACAAAATTCTTTTGTTTTACACCTATCATTCAAGATGTGAAGTTGAAATACTCTTCAATAAGATCAAAAACTTGTATTTTTACCAGAATAATTACCTAGATAAAACATCTCAAATGCCTAGACTAAAAAAAATAAATACAGATTATAAGAAATTATGACTTATTTAGATTACTAAGATTACTAAAAGGGTGATGAATTTAATGGATTAACTTTTTTTAATATGAATATATCAATTTTAAAGATAAATACAGATAATTAATTATTTTTTTAAATTGCGAGCTTTGTAAATAAATAACGGGGTGCTGAGTTAGGTCAACTAATTGTAATATAAATGTTACTAAGGGAGTATTCAATAAATATTGACATTCAAAAATAGATGAAAGTATTCAATAAATATTTGTATTAAAAAATAGGTATTTATTATCTAAAATAATCAGATAAGCAACAGATAATCATTAAGTTTTTTGCTATATATTATAACATAATATCTATATGATAATTATGTGCCACTACTTGTAAAATTGGTTTTTTAGAATTTTATAGGTTTAATATGTGAAGTCTTGGACCGAATTGATGAAGACTATATACTATACATATAAATATGTGCTCATATAATTGATTAAGTTAAATATTTAAGATCGTATAATTATAAAATAATATCAAAATTATTTTATAAAAATAATACAAAAAAATTATATAAGAATAAAATAATTTCACTCAAATTTCATGCGAAATGCCATTAATACTACTAGGGAAATACTTAATAGGATGAAAAAAAAATCCAGTTGATACTACATCTAAGAACCTTTTTTCAATGCATAAATACTTAAAAAGGATATCTTGCATTTATATTCAATTGCATAGACTGAATATTTAATTAAAACTACGTAGTATAAGTGAAAAAAATCGAGTACGAAAATAAAGAATCATAGCAAAATCAACGCACATAGTTATACTGGGGCGCCGTATTATCTGTGTAGTTGCAAGCGGCGATAGAGTAGCACCTGGAATAGTTGCTTCAGTAGCAGCAGCCGCTGATGTCGATAACAATAAAGAAGCGGCTGAAGGATTAGAACGAATGCTACATGCATCTGTTGGACTGGCTGCTAGTGAACTTAAAGCATCTCCAGGTCGTGGACTATTACCACCGCTGCTGCTAACAATAAGAATATCAGTATTTCCATTGTTGCCATTACCATTATTTCCACCACATGGAGAACCAACTAATGAGTGCTGGTGTTGAAATTGTGGTGTAAAACCGTCAATAGTGTCGCTACCTGCACCCACAGTAGTACATTGAAATGTTATCACTGCACCACTACTACTGCTACCGCTTGACGATGATGCTGAATGTGTTGAATTAATGCTACCTAGCGTACCACATGGTGAGGATGAACCCGCTGTTGGTGAAGTTGTCGCTGCCAGTGCTATTGATGATATTTGACGATTACTACTGTCAAGTAAACGGCGCGGAACACCACTAAAACTCCTAATGACGTTTTTTGTTTTATTTTTCAATTATTCAATCATTTGTTTTTATTTAAAATAGTATATAGAACGAAAATTTATTATATAATTATACATAATACATAAAAGAAATTTCGAAAACTAATAATAATAAATAAATAACTTTTTTAAATTAATGACAAAGTATTTAAAATATAAGCTTCGAAAGCTTGAAAACAAACAAAAAATAAAATGATTCATCAAAGTATTTTATTTAATAATATATTTTATATAAAAGCAATGTTTTAGTAAAGAAATAGAAAAGCATGAAATTTTGATTTCGTTATTTCTTTTTAAGGGAGTTTCCCTATATCGTAGGTACGTGAAATTGTAGTGTTGTGATTTAAGTAAATATGTTAAATAAAAATAACCATAGCATATATATACAAATATATAACTATAATAAAAAGCCATTTTTAAGTGAAAACCACACATATATGAATAATTATTGAAAAAGCGTATAATAACAAATGATCACAAAAAAGCACATATGTTTGTACTTAACGCCTTTTAAACTCAGCAAAGTATTTTTGTCCTTAATTAACAAAAAAAGAAAAATTTAGTTGAATAAATTAAGCAAATATAATCTTATATTAAACATTGTCAACGTAGTTTATATTAACATAATTAAGCCTAAATTAAAAACCCGTGGATATAAAGTCAATCAACTAAATTCTCAATATTATTTATTGTGAACTTAATGTTTAATCTTTCTGCTTCTTAAATTAATCCAAACTCGAGAACATTTTCATATATCTAATATGAAGTATATTAGTGCTTCAAAGTATTGGAGCATTGCGATGGTACTCGAACAGTTCGAATTTGAATCGAATTCGGACATTTGAATTGACACTTAAAATGTTCGAAAGTGATTGAGCTGCTCCCATATTAAATTCGCTATTACGTTTCATTTAATTTTCGTTTTGTTTTATATAAATATGTATAACCACCAAGAATCGAGCACTATAAAATATTCGAATATTTCAAAACGGTTAGCATTTTACTCGAACATAAACAGAACCGAACATGAAAATGTTCGAAGCTTTGAACAATTTAAAATACATTAAGACTGAAAAGTTTTCGGAAATTCTCATTTAAAATTCGCGCGCTGTATATTTTTCGATATTTTAAGTTTATGTAGTTTGGCAGCACTGTCCTTAATTCCTATGCCAAAAATGAGCGCGATCTGTCAGACAGTTCGTTTACGGCAGCTGTTGAAACCAGTTCACCTCAGTAGTGCGTTGCGAAATGTCTTCGACGGTCGTACGACCGTCCTGAAAGGCTTTGTACCACTCATAAACTTGAGTTTTCGATAAAACTGATTCCCCATAAGCCTTTTGTAGCATTCGCAACGATTCTGCACACGAAATTTCGTTCGAAACACAAAATTTGATGCAAACTCTTTGTTCAATATTTTTTTCCATTGTTTTTTTCGCAACGCACTACTGAGGTGAACTGGTTTCAACAGCTGCCGTAAACGAACTGTCTGACAGATCGCGCTCATTTTTGGCATAGTAATTAAGGACAGTGCTGCCAAACTACATAAACTTAAAATATCGAAAAATATACAGCGCGCGAATTTTAAATGAGAATTTCCGAAAACTTTTCGGTCTTAATGTATATTTGTAGTACTATTACAAGCATCGTATAGTGTTCGAAAACTTTCGAGCAGCTCGCATTTGACTCAAACTTAAAGATACTCGCACATCAAAATGTTCGAAGCTTTGAACAGTTCGAAATATATTTGAGGTACTATTATAAGTATCGTATGGTGTTCGAATATTTTTGAGCAGCTTACATTTGGCTCAAACTTAAATATACTCGAACATCAAAATGTTTGAAACTTTGCTAGAAATATATATATAGTATATATATACTATTACAAATGAGTTATATCGAGTATTAGAGTTTAGTTCTAATAGTGTTACGACTTTATAATAATATGTGATTCCGATGATTCTTTCACTTACGTTTTCAATTGTAAAAGCAAAATAAAAATTACGAAAAAAAATTTAACATTGAATTTTACAAAAACAACACAAATATTTTATCAACCTATTTTTTATAATAGTATATATAACTAAACACTGTTCTTAGATACTGTTTAATAGCCTCTAACATCATTTATAATTTTGCAAAAATAACAGTAGCAGTTTGGTCGCAATATCGCCCAATATAAGTATAAATTTAATATCCCTTTTATGAATATATAAAATATTTATAATATAATATAAAAAATGTTTGTATAAATATATAAACACACATATATAAATATATATATATAACATAAGATATAATAATAATTTTATATATATGTAATAATTACAATATATTTAATCTAAATATATATATATACTTAAGTACATAGTATATACTTAGGAATATATAATATATACTTATATTAAGTATATATTATATATATTGTCTATATATTATATATATTTGGTATATAATGACAATAAATGGAAATTTTTTTTTACCAAAAATTTTTTTTTGGTATAAAAAAATAATATTTATAAATAATAGAAACTATTGTTTTAAATAATTAGTGCAGATTGGATTTTGATAAAAAGTGAATATATTACATACATAAAGACTGTTTTTTAGGAGATCTGACTTTTCAGTTGATAACGCTATATATATTGACAACCATTTTGATAGTTGACAATTTTTAGTGACTAGTGTGATCTCTCAGGCCTTTAAACTATTTTTTGTAAGAATAAGTGAAGTTGCAGGTCTACTCAGATGAGATCGATGACATGAGCCACATGAATACCAACATTCGTGGAATTATTACCGATATACGGTCTAATTTGCTTGAATATTGTACATCGAACATCGTTCGAACTAGCTGTATATTTGAACATTAAGAGTAAACAATTGTCTCTCTATAAATTCATGATGTATTTTATTTAAATTTAAAAATCAAATTGTATTAACTATAGTATATATAACGTAATACTAATAATATTAATGCTAATTTTTTTAGATATTATTTTTTTATAAATGAATCATAGTTTTCTTAATTAAACATGTTCCTGTCAAACGTCACATTTTCGAGATCGTACTTAAATCAGTAGTCGGCTTTGAAAAATTCTATTCATAGTATCTTCCCGTATATAGCATTTTGGCAATTTTCTTTGAACTTAATTAGAACTAAAAATTTTAACCAAGAGATATTATTGGGTTTATCTAATAAAAACCTCAAATAGTTGAGACGATCTTAGGAGGCTCTCTCTAGATATAGAACAGGGAGCTCATAGATCACAGTGTACCACTGTCTGTTTTAATAATAATAATAATAACAATGAAAACATATAGAAAGAAGCTTTAATGAATTATGAAAGACACCCTCATTAACAATATATTATATATTCATTATAATATTAACAAGGATTGCTTTAGTTCGCTTGTGCACTATTTTTTTTTTTTTGTTACCTAAATCAACATAAAAAGTTTGCAATATAAACTTCGATATTTCGAGAAGTAAGTCAATTGGGGTATAGTATAATGAAAAAAATTACTGAAAGTTTACTATATTTGTCTCGATATCTCGAGAAGTAAGTTATATTAGGATATATAGTGTAATGAAAAAGAATTACTGGAAGTTCATTATATTTGTCTCGATATCTCGTGAAGTAAGTTATATTGGGATATAATGTAATGAAAAAATGTTGCTGAAAGTTTGCAATATAAGCCTCGATATCTCGAGAAGTAAGTTAACATATATAGAGATACAGTGTAATGAAAAAATGTTGCTGACTCTACCAAATCCATAGTCAAATTAAAGTGCTCAGGAAATCGGAAATCGGAAAAGCTTAATTTTAGTTGTTATTGAATTGAATTATTTAATAGTTAAAAATACAATCTTATCTCAAAGACTTTATTCATTATATTTAAGGTGAGGATTACAGCAAAGATACGTTTAATCCCCTTATGCTTATTTGTATAAAACTCAAACCTAAAACAGTGCTTAGAACATTACATAATTATAGACCTTCTAGCTGACTTAGATTCTTAGATATTGAGCAATATTAATAATCAAATTAAATTAATAGATTTTATAGATAATAAATCTATAAGTAATACATATTTGCATTTTGTGTTAATAAATTAGTAATTCAAAATGAACGAAAAAAGTGAAAATTTATTAATAATAAATAAATTAATAAATAAATATAATTTGTTAAAACTAAACGAAAAATAAAATTATAAACTTTGAATATATATATTTATTAAAATAATTCAAAAATTTGTCTTAATGAAATACAATCTACTTATGTTAATCAGTTTGTCCATTATTTTTTTCACTAATAGTTTTATTTTTGTACATTTTTGATTTAAAAATGTACGTACTTAATTAAATAATTTTAATATAACAGTTCAACTAAAATTAATTTAACATTGTCTACTAATTTTATTTTTTTTATGTAAGCATTTAATTTAAATAATTAGTGAAATATGAGGTGTACATAAGTTTTTTAATCAGAAACACTTTAAATATTAAAAAAAAATTAAGCAAGACGATTACGAGAAATGAAAGAGACAGATGCAATGGTGTATATTTGTGTGCTGTTCTATAGTGAAAGTTAGAATGAGTGTTTAATAGACAAGTAGAGAAAAAGAGAGCGCTTTAATGAGAAAATTGCATATTGGCAATAGTAGATAATATTGGTGTTGTTGTTGTGATTATGTTGGCAACTGTGAAAATTTGTGAATGGCGGAACACATTTTCTTAAATTAACGCGACTAACTGAGTGAAAACAGCTTCTATTATTTTTATTTGTTTATGAGACTGACTACGAACCTCATTAATTCATACGCTGCATTTGTGGAATGCGGACGTATTATATATCCATCCTGTTGTGGTACAAACTGTTGACGTTGGTGTTGATGTTGCTGCTGTTGTTCTAATTCGGTTGTTGTATATTGTACTAGAGATTGTCGCAATGGTGTTGAACTTTTCATGACGCTACGTCGATATGCTCTCTCAAATGGTGAACGTGACATAAACATAACTGTATTAGCAGCTGCAGGATCCGAAAGCAACTTACTTAATCGATCATGAGAATAAAGCTCTGTTAATGAACTATGAGACATTTGGTGTTGTATTTGTTGGTGTTGGTGTTGTTGTTGATGAATGTTATTTTTTTGCTGTTGTTGGAAGTGTGTTAAGGACGGTGAATCAACAGTATCATATGTGAGTAATCTCGACACAGCTACAGCTGCATATGTTGGTGGTGTAGCTTTTTCGGCTGATTGTGTTTCAAGTGGGAATTGTTTTTTTCGACCAGATGTTGGTGTTAGAAATGGATCCGGTTCAATGCGTTCAGTTACTACATCAGGTATAGTACCCATTGAACGCATCTTTTGTATAGGATAGTGCAGCTGAGTTTGTGTATGTGTAATTATGTTATTGTGTAAAGGATATTGTTGTTGTTGTAGTAAAATTTGCGGGCTATCATCATTTCCAATAAATTTTGCATTACCGACTTTATTTTTAATAAACAGTTTGCCAGAATTCGTTGATGAAGTAGAATTTTTTCGTTGTTGAAAATTAAAGCGATGTTTTTCTTCTAAAGATTGTTCCCTAATGCGCATAAATTCCTCACGAACTTGTTGTTCTGAATAATCATCAAAGCACAGATTACTTAATGACTTCATTTTTGGTATTTGAGCTCGCTCTGCTAAAAGCTTGAGGCGACGCGGTGAATTTCGATCCAATTCTTGTGATGCCCTATGAAATTCCATTTCAAGTATTGAAAGATTTTCCATTGATTTAATTTTCGGAACGCGTGGCGTATGATAATTTTCATCTAAGCCAGAATCATCCGCTGTTTCAGAATCACTACCACTTGGGTAAATCTCTGAACCACCTCCAGAACCACCAGAACCAATACTACGTCTAGTGCTGACTGCATTGTGAAATGTTGGTGAAAGTGTATGCACTTGCAATTTTTCACTATAAACAGAATGAGTCGAAAGATTTGGAGGTGGCATTTCATTAAGCGGTGTCCGAAACTCATCATCGCGTAGCGTGGAGTTTGGTGTTTGAAACACCAGTTCATCGCTGTCGTACTCATTAATACTGCCGTCCGTGGCGATTTGGTACGTATTTGTATGCAATGTTGAAGGTATATTAAGCCTCATAGCATTAATGGTTCTCTGATTAAGTCTATTGAGGAGAGAAACAGATTTGCTAAATCTGCTGTGTTGATTTTTAAATTTTTTATTTTAAGGTGGATATAAGGATGAAAAATATAATAATTTTTGAGGCACAAGCATTGCGGTTATATTTCAAAATTTGACCAAAATACGTAATATTTTTTTTAGTTTAATGGCAACAATTTTTACAATTGTCGTAGAATTGTTAAATTTCAACCAACAAGTTAAAGCATAAAAATACAAAAATAAAAACAAAATTAATTAATAGAAAATAAAAACAAAAGGATATCAAATATTTTATAGAGTAAAATTTAATATAATTTTCTTACGATATTTTTCTACTAAAAATATTGCAAAATGAATCACAATACAAATTTTATAAACGTAGCTAGATACTAAAAATTAACTTTAAGTTAAGCTAGATGTTATTGTTAATATGTTAACCCCGATTAACCAGAGATTTTAATAATAATAAGTATACATATTGTTCTCATACCCGCGTTAACTTATATTAAATAAACCAAAGTTAATAAAAGATATAAATTAGGTCTACAGTAAATAGTAATTTATTGATTTAAAAATAGCAAATAGTATTTGGATTATTCAAAGCTTTAAAAAGTTGAAGAAATTGTTTAGTAACAATTTAAGGTGTTAACAGAGATTGAGTAAACGATTTTTTTTATATGCTACATAAGTACAAATATTTTTTTGGACTATTTTAATTTAACGCTTTTTAGATTTAAGTTTGAAAAATGTAAATCACAAACTTTCAGATAATAAATTTAACTAAAATTAATAAGCGGTACTAACTAATATTTTATATTTTAATTTTAGCTCATATATACTATTTGTGCTATACTCATATATATGCTATACTTAGCAAAAGTAGCAATGTAGATAACAGTGGTGGCGCAAGGCTTAGCATGAGATCGGACATAGTTCTCAAAGAATGCCAAGAAGTTAAACATATAACAAAATATATACCGAGTATTTTGTACTATCATGTTTTGATTTTGGGAGGTCAAAGAGATCAAAGAGATAAAAAAATCGTATGGCTGGAAGTTTCAACAGAAAATGAGATATAGAATTTTAGTTGAAAATTTTTGAACCTATTTAAATATAATGTGGTATATTTTAAGTGGAATATTAAAAGATTTAAAATTATAGATATTACAAATTTTAACTAATAATTACTTTCAGATATAAAAGCTTTTGGCACCCTGCCTCTCAGTTGATATTAAATGCGGACTCTAGAAATTTCCTCGCGAAGTTAAAGCGTGTATTTTTTTTTAAACTGATTCAAAAATATATTCAAGATTTGAAAAACATCGCCAGTAACATCGCCATGTTTTGCCATTGCCGTTACTGGTAGATTTTATAAATAACTCATTGGTTATGAAAACTATAGCCGAACTTCTTTAAAACAAAGCTCTATAAAATGAAGCTCTATCTATTATGAATTGCTTTTAAGATACAACTTTTTCGTTATGGTTCTGTCTCCTAAAATCATAATTTCTCTGAAATCACAGTCAATCTAACAAACCAAATTAGGGAATCCGTTCGTTGTAGGAAAGTTAGAGTATATATATTTTTTTAGACTTATTTGTTTTATCACAAATAACAAAAGAACACTTCAAATAATCTGAGGTGTTTGCTTGTTCAAAACAAAAACATTTTTTAAACGTATTATGAAATTATTAAATAAAATATTAGCTTTTTCAAACTCTACTACCAAATTTAGTGAAATAATAGCGCTTTTATATTTACCACGATCAAAACTAAAAAAACAAAAAGGTGGCAATAATATAGCACATAATCCATATGTGTAAAAAAAACTAAATAATAATAGTTTGTACTGTAGTCGACGATATAAACTATTTTGGTAATCAATCTTATATTAACCTTAAAATTTTAATTAATAAATGTAGTAATAACAAATAATTAATTTAATTATTAATGATTAGCTACTTTTTTGTATTTTAATTCAGATATGATCTACTACACAATATACTATATAGTTACCCAAAATTGCTCTTGATCTGATCTGCCACGTCTTGAGCTGATTTTGTGGCCGAATTGGATATGTTTATGGTAATCTTAATATTTTGCAACTACTTAACATAAAAACCTAGCTTATATACAAAAGAATAAACGCGTTTATGAACGATAAAAATATTGTATAATTCACAACTATATTAAATAGCGATTTTTTTAACATATAAGTACAATATTTCAAATACTGCAATGGACAAATGTATTGTAATACAACTGTTAAACAAAATAAACCACCGGTTATTAAAAGAGTAATTTATATAATCGGGAAAAATGTCTGTAGTGTTATAAACTAATTTTAAGGTTTATACATTTCACTGGAAATTCACCTATTGAAAATGAAATTTCACTAAAAATAAATTTCGAATTAAAACGTTACTCTAGATTTTTCAATCGAAAACTCTATAAATAGTAATATTTACAGGACCAAAAATTTTTATTTAAACTTCTTTTTAACGTATACATATAAGATATAAAATGAAATTGTGATAGATTAATAATAAAATAAGAAATGTATTTCAATAAAGAATATTAATAATATAATATTAACAGATCTAAATATTTTCTATTATAAACTATTAAAATTATTTGATATTTTTTTAAATATATTACGACCAATATTTTTCTTACAGATATATATTAGAACGTACTTGCATAGTTATATTACAATTCTTTAAACTAAAATAAAACCAATTAATAATTGTAAAATAAGTTATCAATGATATGTTAATTCTATGATTTCAATTTAAAACAATGTAAATAATAGAAAATAAATATAGGGTTTAATTTAGATTTTCGGAATTATTAATACCCATCAAACAAAATTTCTGAGAATTTATTTACAAAAATGTTTTACATAATGTAATATGACAATTATTTTTAAATCTAAAACAATGGATAATACGTATATCTTCTATAAAGATATATGGTATTACTTAAGCTTCCCAGCGACCTAATTTGCCGCAAATTTGTTAATAAAAACGGAAAAGTCGTTTATAAGACTGCCACATCAAAATTCATATCTATCCATTTTTGTTATTAATAGAAATGTAATAACTATGTTCGGGTAGAGAATATTAACCTAAGTATAACAATAATTCAGAGAAACATGATTTCTTAAAACACAGCGGTTAAACAACATATATGTAATATAATATATAACATTATTATTAATATATAAACTATATTAATAATATTTTCATTATTAAAAAAGATAAATATGAAGATATTGATATCAAATATTTTGTTTTAGAATATTTCAAATAAAATCCTATATTTTTTTTAAATGTTAGCTAAGTGGTTATTTAACTTAGTACACAAAAAGAAATAAATGGTATTAAATTTATGTTTTTAATAAATTTAAAATTATTTGTAACATAATTTGAATATTAAAGACTTAATATCCATAAAGATATTATTAAAAAATATATTATTTTATAGTAAACCAAAAAGTAATTAAAAAATTGTAATTAAAGTAAAAAGGGCGAACTTAAAAAATAATTGAAAAGGTTTATTTTCTTTAAATAGTTCATATGTAAAATTTTTATTGTGTATGGTGGTTTTCATCCAAAATTATAAAAAATAAATAAGTAAAAAACTTTTAAGGGCAAAGAAAATGTAAATGTTTTCCATTTAGATAGGAACTTATTAAAAGTGATAACCTTGTTTAAATTTAACTTCAAATTTTCAAATAAATTTTGAAACAAGAAAAATACTTCACACTATTCGAATTTTCATAGTTTTGTCTTGTTAACAATAATAATAATAAAAAAGTATTCAAAAAATAAAATTTTAAAAATTAATCATAGTATTTATATATAAAAATAAGTCAATTAAAAATATAAATAATTATTAATATAAAAATTTAATCTAGACAAATAGTAATAAAAATATGAATAAAATATTAATATAAAAAATAAATATTCATATATATATTTATATTTTATTTATATAAAAAATAAATACTTATATATATATTTATTTTTTATATTAATATTTTATGTAAATTATGTTTTATGCCTTTTATATATTTATAAAACAATGATTTCAATATAAATTTGTTCACTTCTCTAATACATTAACTATACAAAACGAATGTTTTAATAGTTATATTTTTAGATATATATTATAAAATCTGAATCATTGTAATTCTTTGTATAGAATATTTTAATTAATATTTAATCGCAATATTAATATTTGGAATAAATAGCACAGATATTGTTTATAGGAAACAAGGAAAGCATACTCTGTAGTGTACATCCGTAAATGGAAAAAAGTTAGATAAGGTTAGGTTATACCGGCGATCCCAAGAAATTCACTTAGGCGTATAGGATCCAATTTAATTAAAAACTTAAGAGTTAGAATCACTTAGAACCTTTGGCGAAGCTTATAATGCTATTTAGAAGGAGATCTTGCAGTTCGCCAAAATTCTTAAAAAAGAAAACTCCTAAAGTGATAAGGTAGCGCCGCGCATGTGCTGGAAAGAAATACAGCAGATGGAAGGCACTTTCACAACTGCGGCAGATATGATTAAAAGTGAAATTCAATCTTCTAGCATGGTTACCTAAAATGCAGTGACCTGTGAGTCAATTTACCACAAGACTGATATTTCTACGGAGTATCTCAATGAGAGATATGGATTTTCTTTTATTAGAACGTGGTTAATTTTATACAGATAACTGCATATCGTTAAGTCCTCCCATCTTTTATTAAAAAATTCGGCGAATAAATAGATAAAATAAACATATTAATTATTGCTATATAATATACTACAAACCTACTACAAGACTGATAAAAAAAATTACGAAAGTAATTAAAAATACAATTTTAAAATTTTTAAATAAATAAAAATTAAACAGTATATAGAATTAAAAACAAGTTAAACGATTACTTTCAAATTTATCTTGTATAATAAAAATATCTAAATTTGAATGAAATATATATCAGACATAAAATCAACCATATTGTCACAAATAAGTGGAAAACTACAATGAATATATAAAAGAAAACTTTGCTTTTTTGATTTTTAATATAGTCTATATCAGAGCCATCCTATCGTTAGAGCAAAAACAACAATAGTCTTAGCGCGCAAGACTTTTTGGGCTATAATTTTTATTGTGTGAAAAAATATTATTTGAATTCTATAAAGTTTTTTTAATTGTATTAGTTGCCCACCAGAAGCGAAATTCTTAGAACAGCTCTGGTCTGCATGTAGGTTTTTAAAATCCTATACACAATAACAATTTTATTATGTATAGCTTTAAGGACTAGTGTATAATCATTAAAATCTCCAGTTATTGAATGCCGCTATACATCATTTTTTTTTTAATTCAGTTAATTAACTGATGACTAACAAAAATCAGAGCAGTTATGGTAGCGTTTCTGTTAAAATGGTTGACAGATTAACTTTAAAGACCGACAATATAATGTTTTAATGTATAATCATAAAAAAATGCAAATGCAAAAAAATTATTAATATTCTAACGAATGAAAAATCAGTCCGATAAAAATCAGTCATTTAATAAAATCTCCATTTAGTTAATCTAACTAGAACTACACCAGTTAAAATTTAGATAATTGTGAGCAATCTCCGGGTTCATTGCTAGCTTAGCCAGAGATTGAAACGTACTGGAGATTAAAAAGACTACCATAAGTTTAAACTAAAATTAAAAAAAAAATAATAATATTAAACTACCTTCGAAAAGATCTAGTTTCCTATCTACTCCTAGTACACACTAGCGGCAAGTAACAGTTGTCATCACAATGCCGTTTAAACGGTTTTGAAATACATTAGATCATATTAAGCAGTCCACATTTGAATCGCTTAATCGGCAGAATGGCGGTGCCGAGACTATTATAAATGTCGCTAGTATGTACCTAGCCTTAACCTATATAAATCAGTAATCTACTTCTAATTAACGAATATTTTATAATTCAATTAAAAAATTTTGTTGCTAAAATTGCATTATACATGTCTAAATGGAAAACAGTTTTCTTATTAGTTTTATTAAGAAGAAAATAAAAATTAGAAATAGCAATTAGTATAAATATTTGAAAATAACAGGTTAACTAATTATGTACAGGCAACCCAAAAGTATTAGATTATTACTTAACAAAAAATGATTATAAAGGATTTATGATTGTGTTAAATCATTACGCAAAATAGTTAAGAGAAAAATTATAAAAAATTATAGAAAATTACATAGCAAGGAATAAGTTATACAATAAAATATTTTTCAGTATAATCAAAGCAAATAAACAATTAATTAAATGTTTTAAATTAATTATATGTTAAATATTGATATATATAAAAATTAAAAAGTGATTTAGTAAAGTGTAGTTGCTGTTAGTATTTTCATATTTTAGATAATTAATTGTAAGTGGTATAGCGTTATTAGAACTGAAAAATATAACTTTGGTTTTTTATATATATTTTAGGAGTCAATTAGTTTTAAAAAATAAAATATACTTTACATAAAAAGTAAATATATTAGCAATTCAAAAAAAAAAATCGTTGGTAGGAACTTGTAATCTTACCTTGCATGTCCCGAGTCTCCTTCAGAACTTTGCCTCGAATGTTGACTGTGTGAAAAACTGCTATAGCCTGAACCTTTCGACATCTAGATTCATAAGGAATAACTTATTAAATTATACTACTTTTCACAAAGTTAAAACTAATTCATTTATAAAATGTTGTATTTACTTTGTAAAAATTATCTTGAAAACTTGCAAATGTAGATGTTAATAATCTACAATACTTTTTGCACAATTCACTCACTTGACTAGTATTACTCGAATTCCTTGAATGACCCATTTCTATTATCGAAGACGTTCCAGATGTGCCTCCTAAACCAACTCCAACCACACCACTTGTTGTCGTACCACAATTACTGCTTCCAATTATACTTAAACCCACTCCATTGCCTGCTCCACTAGTGACAATACCAAGTGTTCCATGCTGCAAAGCTTGTTGCTGTATATTTGTAAGTGCTGTAATTGGTATCAAACTTGAGGGTGGTGTATAATTTGAATGCTGCAGCTGTAACTGCTGTTGTAATAAAATAGGATCGCTTGTAATTGTAGTGATTGCTGATTCAGATGATTCCGAAAGACCCGAGTCAGTAACAATTGAAGCAATTAACGTTTGCGGATCTAATTCTATAAGGCGAAAATAAAATTAAATATATATTAATATAAACACAAGAACAATAAAACAAATATTGTAAATTTTATCAAACATAACAGATTTAAAATTAACATTAACGTTTACAAAAATTTATTTAATGTTTGGATATAGCAATGTGCTGAACTATTGCTTGTCAAGCATAAATGGGTTAATTCTCCCTTTGTACCACTCTACACATCATGATGTGGCCTATTTGTTTTCCTGCGCCAATCCACACATAAATCTAAGTCTAATTTAGCGTTAACTTTAATTTAGCGTTCCGTCCCTTAGCGTTAACTAGGTTTATTCGTCCTGATCCTAGTTGACATCAATTTAAATCCCACCCATCTCCTAATACAATCTCACTTTCTAATAATTCCTATCCCTCTCACATAATCCATTTAAAATTACAGATACCTTTACAACAACAAATATTTTAAAAACAAACTTTATCTGAGTTGAATTTAAGTTTTGAATCTCATCAAAAAGAATGTAATTAACAATATTTATACGATAATATAGATAAGTTGAATTCAAATTTTGAATAAAATCCTTCAGGTACAAATGACCTTGCGGACAAATGATTGCGGATTTCATTGCAATAAATTTAAGCAACGCAGAAGTGCGGGATTCGAGGTTAAAATTTCTCAGAACCTCCCTATCAAAGGTTGATCCAGAAAAATTTAAAGAAATCCATGAAATCATTCTGAATGACAATAAAAGAAAGTTAAGAGAGATTGCTGAATCCTTTCAGATATCAGAATAAAATGTAAACTCCAACTAAGACGAGCATTTGATGAACAGAAAAGTGATTCGATATGATAAGCGAGTTCGCTAGTTTAAAATTATTTCAATTAAAAACATTGTAGTGAATAAGACATGAGTCACTACATAGTTAAATCGACAGCCTTTATATTTCATAATGCGTACTGTTTTTTATTTATTAAATCTTTAAGAAGGAAAAGTTTTTGCCAAAACTGAAACCTATTTTGAACACTAATAAATCATTTTTCAATAATATATTTAAATATTAGAGAACTATTAAAAAAAATGATGCGTCACTCTAGAAAAAGATTGCTCTGTTTTTTCACCAAATCAATGCATCAAATCACAAACCATCACAATAATGACAAAATCGTAAGAATTGAACATTGAGTTGAAGTCGCTGGAAGATGGAAAACTCCAAGCTCTTCCAATAGTTAGTGGAAAGAAATTTGGTCTTAATGAAGAATTGATTGCCAAAACTAAAGCTTTCAATAAATACATCGAAACATTAAAGAAGTATTACAATGAATATATCATATCAGTCTTCATTCCCAACGAAAACTACATTGCTGAATAAAAAAGAATTGTGGGTGAAAATGTATGTTTTATTCGTGATCCTGCGATTCTGTGCTAGAGGCACTATTTATATAAAATAAAATATATTATATATATGAAATATATTTAAACCACATTCATCTAAATAAGATTTTTGCATTTAAAGACCTTGCATATAGTACCTTGACTTAGTTAAGATATTGAAATTAAAGGCTTTTCAATAATAATTTTTTTAGAATATAAATATTTGTTTAAATTACAAATAAATGGACTGTAAAACCTTACATGTACATTAAAATTTGTAATAATAAAATTTTTTTGCATCGATTGCAGATTATTTAAAATATTGATAATTATATAAAATAGTACTCTATACGGAATTTTTAACTAAATTAATAATCATCTTTAAAAAAACGTGCTTTGTACTTACCGTCATCTCTTATCGTTGAAACTGGGCGTGTAGTTAAAGTTGTTGCGCTTCCTATACCACTACCAACTAACGTAGAACTGCTCACAGCCAATGACGCACTACTACCAACACCAGAACCAAGTGTAGGTATCGCAGTTGCTGTTGGTGTTTCTAATCCAACCCCAGTAGCAGCTGTTTCTAGGTCATCTGTCGAAGGTTTTTGTTTACTTTTCAGACTTGGTGTTGGTCTAAATAATATATTTGTTATAATAGATTTATAAATTAAAATATTGAATACTTACGCCTTAAATAGTATATCACCACTTAACATGTGCATTTTTATTGACACTTTAAGCATAGAGTTATCTAAGCGATGTCTGGAATCATAACCTTCCAATAGAAATCGTCTTGATGTTAATCCTGCACCAGCGAATTCGGCAAGATTTAAGTCAATAAAACCTAATTTGTAGTAACTACGTCCACCCTTCATCTCTTTTCTTATTGAAATTCGCAAATGGCAGGGATCCAATACACCAGTTGAGGCGTTTGCAGACATTTTGCATGGAAACTCGAAATTCCGATTCCATTCCACGCGATGATTTTTCACTTCTTCTCTATTAATTGCAAATAATAATTAATTTAAAGTAATAAGTACTCATTAAAAAAAAATTATTTGTGTTTTACATACCTGCTACTATATTCTTGAAACGATCCACCGTCTAAAAGACGTACTTTGGCAAATAACACCTCATTGACTAGTGCTACTTCAACTAAATCGTGCAATTGTACTTCTACATTAAACTTATACTTTTTCTTTTTCATCATAAATGCCATACCAGGGGCGCTAGGCCCAATCAATGTCATACAATAACCAATATATTTCAATAAAAATTTTTTAAACTTTTTTCCAAGAAAATACAAACGAATCAATTATAAAATAAAATTTAGGAATTTTATGAGGATTTATATCTTCGCGTCTTTCTTGTAAAACTGAATGGTTCTTTATTTTAAGTTTGCACGTCCTTTGCTTTAGATTAAATACCATAAGTTTTGCTTAGTATATATGAAATAAAATTTCTATATATTACTTCAATTCTATATAAAATATTTTGTAGAACATTTCTTAATATCCGTTTGCACAACAGGAAAATTAAAGTAGACGTGAAAAGGTGTATTATTTTTTTTAGACTGCGACGGCATCATTTTCCACCTGAAAGATATATAAAATATTTTATATTATTAATTTTTTAATTTCTTTTTTAATTTTTAATATATCAATATAAAATCGCAAAAGGTATAGCAAAAAATAATAAATGAAATTATAACTACAGCTAAACATTTAAAACACAGATATACTGATGACCTTATCTTTACTCTGATGCCCACTCTATCTAACACGTCTATATCAGAAGCTTATCGAAGGTAGGAAAAACTATGAAAAGGTATTATCAATCTTTAAAAGTTGAAAAGTTGGTACTATGAAGAAGCGAGACACAACGTTACTGAAAAGATATTAAACACAGGAAAGAGTAGTGTAGGCACGAAGAAAATGTTATTAAAAGCCTAATTGGTTTATATCGTCAAAATTTATTGATAAAACATATTTTTAAATTTTAACAACTGTCTTCTCATTATTAATCTAAATTGCACTTGGTGCCTGTTTAATATTTTTTTTAATTAGAAATTTTTTAATTATTACTTTTCTTTAATTATTATTTTTTCAAATCATTATTTTTTTCATTATTATTTTTTTTCATTAATATTTTTTTTTTTATTTTATTTTCTATTTTTTTAATTATTTCTTTTTTATTTTTTTTAATTTTTTTTTATTATTTTTTTTTTGCTTTATTATCTTTTTTCATTATTATTTTTTTTATTTTATTTTCTATTCTTTTAGTTATTATTATTTTTTTATTTTTTTAATTATTATTTTTTTCTTTATTATCTTTTTTCATTATTATTTTTTCAATTGTTTTTTTTTTTTTCATTATTATTTTTTCAATTGTTTTTTTTTTAATTATTATTTTTTTAATTATTAATTTTTTAATTATTATTTTTTTTTGCTTTATTATCTTTTTTCATTATTATTTTTTGTTATTTTATTTTCTATTCTTTTAGTTATTATTATTTTTTTATTTTTTTAATTATTATTTTTTTCTTTATTATCTTTTTTCATTGTTATTTTTTCAATTGTTGTTTTTTTTCATTATTATTTTTTTTTTCATTATTATTTTTTCAATTGTTATTTTTTTTATTATTATCTTTTCAATTGTTATTTTTTTATGATATTTTCAATTGTTATTTATTATAATTATTATTTTTATTATTTTTTTTACTATTTTTCCTCTTTCCTTTGCTTCTTAACAATTATTCTTTCTTGATAAAATGCAAATTTGAAGACGTATCTTCAGCAGTTACATCGTTTATAAAATATTTAATAATCCAGTTAAGAGTTGGATATGCTGTATTCGAATAATATAGCAAAAAAAACGGAATTGAAGTGCAAAAAAACAGATTTATATACTTGTGGAAATAAAAACCCAACAAAGATCTATATGAGAATTTATATAATTTCTATACAATAGTTAGATTGTATGTGTGTATTCAGTTAAATAAAGTTCAACTAATTGCTACAAATGATCTGTAGATCCATGAAAAAGAATATTTATGTTTAATATTTGGTGTTTTTTATTATAAAATCTATTGCGATAATTTTTTTTTTTATTTGAATCTTATATATTGTTCTGATATAGTAATTTTTTTATCTACAATATATAGCAGTGCTGTATCATTGGGAACCCGAAGGTTTATTCATAACAACTTGACACTAACCAGAGTTTTGGTTTCTATATTTCTGAATATTCAATGCGTTCTGATATACTAATCTCCTATATGGTATATAATATATATTTGAGATAGCTATTATTTTAATTTTTTTATCTATATATATGGAAGTTTATTACAGATAATATCGTTAGTAAAAATATTATAAAAATTCTAATATTGCACTTATGTACTTTTTTCGAGATTTCGAAAATCATTCACTGTTGAACAACTTATCTCTATTGTGAGCTGATCACATCCGGTAAGTCAAGTCTTACCATCCAATATTAATATAACGTCTACGTTTCACTTACACAAAACCGAATTTTAAGTTCGAGTTTATGTCATCTGCATTCCAATTCGAACACATAAGAGTGTTTTTAATAGCATTGTTTGGTTTCACAATAATCCTTCATCATGTCCTGCATTGTATTAATGAATTTATTCATATTTTGAGCGAATTGTTGAGTTTTTTTGGAATGCTTTCTTGTGTATAATGTTTGAGGATATTGATTCGTGCTAGATTTTAGGTTAGGGTGCTACTTTGTTTTGATGGGTTTTTATTCGTAAAGATTGGGTGCCTCGACATACCTTGAAAATTAAAAATTACAATGGGCAAGTACTATTAGTAAAAAAACGAAAACTAAAAAAACAAAATGCCTTCAAAAGGCATAAAATTAACACTCATTTTTTATTTTGTTTTTCTTAGAAAAGAAATAAACATAGGAACAAAGTATATAATAGCAAGTCCTATTGTTTTAGTATATTAAAACTTTTATGAGGTTAAGTTTGTTCTTATAAAAACTAATTTAACCTTTGCGTGTTGAAATCACTTAAAAACAAACTACTCAACACACAAATTATTTGTGACTTTAATTTTGACACAAAAACTAGTAAAGGGTCACTTTTATTCGTCGAAAAACGCATTTTTATGGTCATAGGAAAGTTGGAAATGAGCGAACAAATTGGACTATTGGGCTTTTTCCATAATTGGACTGTTGTATAATTTAGTATAATAAACTTACAAATATCAAGTAAAATTGTGTAATAAAAATTTGTATTTGATTTAGCAAACAAAAAAAATCTATATACGGAACGGCAAATGCTAGTTAGAAAAAAAAAGTTTTATATATCTAATGATGACTATTTTTAATTATATTTTAAGAGAAATACTAATAAAAACGTAAGAATAGATTTTAAGATTTCTTATTAATTTTTACATTATATATAATACATATTTTAAACCACGCAATGCACGAAGTCCCTTAGCCCATAAACGTAATTTCTAATAAAAAAATAGGTTAAAACGCCATTTTTTTAAGGTGTATTGATAATTACAATTTCATAACGCAATGTAATTTTAGAAAAATAAAAATGACATCAGTGTTTTTATTCAGGGTACAGAATGTATACACAAAGGATTTGTATGTCCTACTAAATTGAATACAAACAATAAAAGAAATACTCCCTCTTGTGCCGAGACTTAAATGTAATTCACACAAAAATATTCGCTAATAAAACCGCCTGTTTGTTTATATGGTACTGACCTTTTTTAATAGAAAAACTTCATAATTTCTTTAAAATTAATGTTTTAGATAATGTTATCATTAAAGTAATAACTAGTAACTTAACTAGACAGTTAAATGATGACACCATTGATGAAACTTTATATCATCTAAACTCTTATTGCATTTAAAGTACTTTCTGTCAACAAACAAAACTTCTCAGCGTCGAAGACCCACGCCATAATTAAAACCTGTCAGTTAGAATTTGCAAAAGTCTTTATTTATCTAGGAATTCGTGTAAACAACAAAAATGTTGTCAGTCTAGAAGCTCAACAAATACTCACTCTTGTCAATGGACGCTATCTCGAGCTTAGTAGTGAATTGAGAAATAAAACTTTCTCTCGACAAACAAAAATTACGTTCAATAAGTCTTTTATCATGTACATATGTTCTACTATATAGTATAGAAGCTTGGACAATAACGAACACTGATGCAAAGCTATAACTACTGGATATTTTAAAAGATCTATCAAAGGAACACAAATAAAAAATGAAAGTTGACAAATTCTTTGCACTGTTTTTAACCACTTTAATTAATATCTAAACATTTAAATTTGAATGGATAAAGTATTTAACGTAAGACTGCAATCAATAACGTGTAATGAACTGTTTTCAACCACTTTAATAAATATCTAAAAATTCAAATTTGAACGGATAAATTATTTATCTTGAGACTGCAATCAATATACTTTAAACTTAAAATATAAGCAACATAACAAATAAATATATTACATATATATATATATTTACTTACATATAACAGATAGAGACTACTAATATATTTCATACGACGAAATGAAATAATTCATACGGAAGTATTAAAATTAAATTAAAGAGCTTAAATATTTTTATATATAAGTGAATACTACCCAAAATTAAAATGATTACGACATTTTACACAGAACATACATGAAAACCCTAGAAGTAAAGTACGATACATGTTAAGATAACGAAATATGCACTTAGTTCTATTGTAAACCCAATGTATTTAAAAAGTGAACTTAAAAATAAACCAAATATGAACTACAAATGATATCAAGATTTATTATAACTATTTGACTTTTTTTTTCTGATAACATGGAGTGTAAAGATTTCCATAAGAATTACACGACATGCTTTCGGTAAGACAATAACACATTATTATAATGCATTGAGCCTATTCACACTAACGGAGGATTGACACTTGAAATTGGTTTCTGATAGAAGAAATCAGGAGAATATGACTCTACCTGTACAATTTCGCAATATAAAAAATGCTGCTTATTTTGAGATTGATATAATATATACATACATATGCATTATTATTTTTTAAGCACTTTAAACTTAAATAAAAAAATGTCAAGCCTTAAGTTAGGATAGTGTAAACGCATCTTTAAAACATTTTCAAATGAGATGTTGCCGTTAGTGTGATTTGGTTCAAAAAATGTTGCAAATTGCAAATTTTTAATAGAAGAGACTGTAGCAAGTATGACTGTAATAGAATAATAAATGAAGGAATACCAACATATCACATGTGCGTTTAAAATTGAAATTAATAAAATATATATCTTGTTGCACATTTAAAAAAGATTCATAAAAATGCTATAGAGTTATTCAGAGTGTATAGATCTGAAATGTAGTTGACTTTATTGGGAAAGCATAGGAAGAGAGAGGGATTTTAACCTTTAAATACATACCTCCTTTAAAGAAGCTTATTGTAAAATAATAAATTGCTGTTACTCTTCACACATCGCCGAGTTGAAACTTGAAGAAATGTATCGTCGTTAAAGTTATTGTTTTGACAAAGTTCAAATATTTTTACACTGAGTGACTAAAGTTGTCATTTTTGGGGTAAGATATATTATTACACATATGTATATATATATATTTATTCAAATTATACTAACTATTGGTTTAATTTTAATGTGCGCATTAAGCAGATATATTGAAAAATATTTAAAAAAAATGACTTTTTTCTAATAAGAATAGTGTTGAGATTGTTTAGGAGATATATCTAGAAACAATATATTTTATATAAAAAATATCTAATTTAAATATGAAAAATTTATTGAAATTGCACTCATCTGCTTTGCAATAAGCTTATACTTAAAACAACAAACTTAATAAAATATTCATTTATAATTAAATAACATGAAAAACAAAATTAATTGTTAGTTGTAACTAGTATTTGCAAAACTTACGAGCTTCAAAGTCAAATGATAGATAAACGCCGAATAGTTTTTCGCTAACAAATAAATTACGAAGGCAAAGCAATAAAAAAATATGTTAAAAAACATAGTGTAGTAAAACAGAGTTTTTTTTTTACTAATTTATTTTATTTTTTAACAGTATATTTTCAAGTCTATCTAAAAGTTTGAAACGATTGAGCTTTCCATATACAATGATTTGCCAACGTTACAAAAAAAGCCTATGTTGCAAATTAGCTGCTCTTTGGAGGTGATGTTCTTATTTTTTTTTTAGTTTTGGAAATATGGAATTACGGGTATGATAGTGAAATAAATGTTACGATTATACTAGATGAAGAAATAATTTGTGACGAAAATGATTCATTTTTTTTAATAGCCTCTGAATGAACTTATGGCAAAACGCAAATCTTATTAATTGTATTTTTAAAATAATATTTATTTGGCGCAAAACAGCGTTCCGATATTACATTTTTTTTTGACTTAAAATCGTCAGTCGTCTTTTTATACGTATTACGTATTGTTCTCAATACAGGTAACAAGAACAACGGAAAGTCTGGTCGGTCTTTCTGGCCGATTACACGATTTTTGTCTTCTCCAAAACTAATTCATCTTATGAACCCATTATTAATAAAGCAAGGGATTCGTATTTTCTCTAATGCAACAAATCAATTTTATCTCCAAAAATTTTTTTTAATATTTTTACATGATCGCGCTTATGGTACACAATGGGCATATGCGGCGCCTGCATTGTCTATAGCTTTTTGACTTGTTTATGTAAAACTGAAATTATTCTGTCATGTCATATGCCTAATGATTTTTACAAATAGTTGTATCATTGATTAGTTAAATCAATATTGTGGGTTTTATCGAAGACTTCTGGATCAACAGCTTTAAATGCAAAATGTTTTTACGACAAAATTGATGCAAATATCATATAAACATTATTAAACTCAAGTTAATTTATTTTACATTTACACATTTCATATGTAAATATTTGACACTCACCAAACTGATTTGTTTTTTTTGTTGATATAGTAAAAAATAAATCCTTAGCTAATTGTTTATAGATATGAAACTACGCAAAAACTTCTCTCATTACTGATATTCATCAGTTAGAAGTTGCTATAAATAAAAAAAAACGGTAAAATATAAAATAGCGCCATTCGAGAGAAGTGCCGTTAGATGACGTAATATATAAAAATACATGGTTGCCAAGTCTTTTAAAACAATTTATTAAATTTTTGTTTATTGTTTTATACAATTTCATATTTACTTTAATAATGAATTTTAAAATTATATTTTGACAAATTGCAGTCTATTATTTCTATAAAATAATTGCAGATTGAGTTTAAGTAATTTACTTATCACAAATTTGATAAAAATAATGGAGCTGTAGATATATTCATTACTTTTACGCGAGTCTTAAAATCACTTTTAAAACTGATTTTAAAATCAGTTTTTAGGCGTTTACACTCTAAGAATTAAAAGCACTTTTAAGTTACTTGCAAATATATCAGCTGTTAAGTAGTAAACAGAAATGTTTATTTTAAAAATTTTAAATTGTAACCAAACTAGTAGAAGAAAATAATAAAACAACAATGAAAATTTAAGGAATATCCTTTATAAAATTTATAAAATTGCGAAAAATATGATTACAATTCTTTGATAAAATTACAATACTTTTGATTAGTTCGCCATTTCTCGGCGAACTATTTCATATATATAGTGCCCTCCTTTTCTACATTTTTGCCGTCTAACAATTTTACTATTTCTTTTTCCGCAAATATATAATTTTTTTTTTAATACTTATACATTTATTTATTGTATCTTCTCTTACAAGGAGACTAACAATAAGTTTTAAAATATTATCACTAATCACAATATTAAATAATATTACATTTTTTATTTAAACTACACATTGTATAATATTATATAAAATAAGTAAACCTTATAGCACAAACCTAACTTAAACCAATGCGTTAAATTTCATTGGATTGAATGTTAGGTGGTTCATTGAGAAAACAATTGAGCTTAATCAGAGCACTAACAAAAGAGTAAGGTTTATACTTGTACTTATTGAGTTTTAATGAATGACTGGGCGGTCAGTTCTGTTTAGGCAAGATTTAATGGTTAGAAGTACGAGATATATTGCCAAATTCAGTTTTAATTAAGAGAATTTGTAGATCTCGGTGGATATTTTTATTCCTAATATACTATGGGACATCAGTGATTGTTCTATTTTAGTATTTTATATGAACTCTTTGGATAATTTCAATATTTGAAGGACTAACATTACCAAATAGCTGGATACCATAAGTCCATATTAGTTTTATGATGCTGTTATACAAGAGTACTTTATACTCTAGGCACAGGGTAATATTTTAATTAAATACTTTTCTCTTTCTTCTTTCATCCAATTTTTTCTTTTTATTTCCTATTGACAGTTAACAGCTGAGCATTCAAATCTTAAACTTCTTTTAAGGTGTTTATGCAATTTTAAGCATTTAAGTGATGTTTCTTACTAAAAGTGATGTTAAAATGCTTTTAGTAAGCTAAAAGTGCTTTTAAGCAAAATTTTTTAAGTGCCTTAATATAACTTTTAAGGCTCGCGTAAATGGGGTGATTATTATCATTATAAACAAATTTTAACTTCTATATATTTGAATGATTTTTACAACATTTTTTATCATTTAAAAGTATAAACTGTGGTGCAGGTCCGAAAAAGAAAATTGATAAATATATTTATAACCCGACGTTATAAATGATTTTACTAATAGATGAAAGGCCATATGAAGAAATTTTCTATTTTGTCATTCTTACAGAGAATGCAAGAAGTAATACACAAACAATAACATAACTTATTGATTTGCTTATATATAAATAATAATAATAGCTGTCTCTCCAAATAATTTTGTAAATAAATTATTTATTAAGAAATTAATAATATGGAGTTTATAAAATATATTGTTTGGGTACAAAAATTAATAAAAAAAAGCTTTATTTATTTATTAAATTTAAACTGCTATTCTTTTTTTTTTCAACCATTCACGCGTTTTTAGTATACTATAATAGCAAAACCTGTAACTCTTGGTACAAAATGCATCTATGTACAGAAACGCATCTACTATATAATATACAATATATGAAAAAGTGTGGTTATGTTAAATAATGAAAGAGTTAGAATTTATTTGATTCTTTTGTCTTTTGTAAACCCTTCGCGACTGTCAAAATAGTGTTCTACGTTGTGTGTGTAGTTGGGGTTTAAAAATTGTTTTAAAGTGTTTTGTTCAAAAAATTAATATACGCATTTGTTTTTATTAATATAAACCCAATTATATTATTAATTAAATATTTTATATCAGACTAACAGTATAATACATATCTGAGACAAATTTCCTATTGCACAGCAAAATACATACAGAAATTGCATATTGCGGTATTCACGTCATGCCGAGGCGCGTAAAAGTTTTAAAGGCCAAAAACGTAATTTTAAAATAATAATAATATATTGATTCTTTTGTTTAAATTTTTGAATTTAAATTAATTGTCTTACAGCGGCCAGTTTTTGAGCCGGTAATTTCGCTAGAGAATCCTATAACGGATTACAAACGGCTAATGAATACAATTATGGCAACGGATGTTGAAGAAGAAATACTTAAAGAAAATTATATGAAAATTGCTGAAGTTGCCCAAAAATGTATTTGGGACTTGTTATTTGCAGAATCTGATACAAAAACTGAGAATGAAGCAAAGGCTACTGAATTATTAAAAGCGCATAAATATGACTCTGCTTTTTACTGTCCTTGGGACTACAATGAATGGATCGTTATTGTACGTGACGAATTGTTAAGCAGAGAAATGTTTCAGTTTTGGCGTAATGTAATAGTTAAATGTGAATTAGGACCTTGTTGGTCAAGAGATTCAGATTGTTTTACAGGTGATAATGCACCTGAGGAATTTTATAAATTCGCTGGGTGTGTAGCACCATTTAGCAGAGAAGCAGCAGCAAAATTGGATGACTCAAACTGTGCAGAAACTGTGTTGGAAACAGGCTCTATCGAAACGCAAACAAGTGCAGGAGCCAAAAACGATTCATCAACCGACACGTATATAGATTCTAACACCATGAGCGTTGAAGATAATGAAAGTTTAGCACCACCGGATGAAGTTGTAAGACACGTAAAGAAATATATAATTTTTAACAAAAGTTATATGATTTTTTTTTTACAGGAAAATGATGATTTTGGCTTAATTATCTCATTAGAAACTCCCTTAAAAGATTTCACGTCGCTTATATTAAATGAAATACAACTAAATGATACTGCCTCTGAAGAAGAATTGGAGCAAAAATATAAAACAATTGCTGAAAAGGCACGTGAAATTATATGGGAGCTCATATTCATTATAACACCATTAACAGAAGAAAACCAATGCAAAGCAATTGAGTTACTGAAAGAAGTGAAAAGTAATGCTTGCTCTTATGGACCTGCTGAATACAACAATTGGATTATTTCTCTACGCGATGAATTACTTAGATTAAATATGATTGAAATTTGGAGTGAACAAATCGTAAAACTTGAGTTGGGCCCATGTTGGGCTCGAGACTGCGATTGGTTTGATGATGCGGAAGATTATGAAGTATTAGACTTTTATAATCATGCTGGTTGTGAAGCACCATTTAAAAACGATATGTTAAACGCAATTAAAAATAATTCGAATCTTTCGTTTTAAATTGAACGAAGAGCTAAAGCTATAAATTGAAAAAAAAATTATTTATTCTTTAGTAATTTTAAATTTTATCTTTTTTCAAATATTTTAAACTTATTTAACAATAATTCTTTTAATTTTTTAACAATAACAACTAATTTTTATACAGCTAGATATGCATTATATACGCTTACAAATATACTTAAGACTAATATACACACATTTTTAAAATTGTGGAAAAGCATATGATATGTAATACAGTCTGTTTTTGTGTTTCATTAAACAAATAAAGTAAAAGTAAGTTAAGGACAATGTAATATTACATTTTTATTTATTTCAAATGTAATAGATTGATTTTCAGAAAAAGGACTTGTGAAACATACATATGTAAAAATTAATAGAAATAAATTAAATTAAAATTAAATTTTTATTTTAAATTTAAAACAAAAAATAATTTAAAAAAAAATTTTAAATTTTAAAAAAAAATTAAATTTTAAATTTAAAAAAAAAATAAATTTTAAATTTTAAAAAAAAAATTAAATTTTTAAAAATTAAATAAAAATTTAAAAAAAAATATCATTACAAATTTGTTCATATATCTATAATTTAAAATGTTTTTTTTTTTTCATACAAATTTTTAGCAGGATTTAATTTGAAGGAATGAAATTTAAAAACATATACATATTTAAAATATTAACTTATAGGATAGAAATATTCTTATAGGACTCTTAATTCATATTCAATGCGAAATTAGGTTAGAAGGTAACTATTTGAAAAACAATTATTTTAAAGACTATCTTAAAATCTCCAACGTTATATTCTACTTATATTCAATTTAACAATTACTACATTTTCCATACGAAATTAGATAAGATTACAAATCACGGATTATTAGAAACCGACTTGTTATGTTTCCATATAGTGCTGTAAAAAAAAATTTGGATTTTTCTCGATTTTACCCAATTGTGTACTCCGAAAAATTGTATTCATGCATAAAAAGTTATATATTTTTATGGGTGGGAGTTGACAAAATGATCTAACAATCATACATCATAGTCTTAATGCTTTAACTTACCGCAAAAATTAAAATTATTTAGTTTAAGACAGATTATCAGGAAAGAAATATAAAAATGATCAAAATCTAATTCTAAAAATCACACGACTGGGTCAAGAAAGTAGCTAAATTTCAGCAAGTTCACTGTATAAAACACGTTTGGACAATATTTCATTTGTATTTACATATGTACTATATATTCACGTTTTAAAAATAAATAATATCCTAAAATACTACTATTTTTATTTTTAATGCTGTATGAGTATCAGGCATAACTTCTTTCTGCTACTAATTCCGCTTAATTATATTATATGTATCTCTTTAATCTATTATAAACCTAGTAAGAGGAATAATTAAAAGCATTTTAGATATACATATGTATGTATTTGCTTCAATCAAACTGAACTGCATTAAAAATGTCACAAAAGCTGAGTACACAGAAATTTATTATAAACACGCATTTTTACCTATGTTCGAATCTGTTATCGCTCACTAAACTTTTCAATAATCTTATTATCTTTATGATTGTTAGCTGGATTACTCATTCGAATTATATTTTACAGAGTTTATTTAAAAAATCAAGTTAATACGTCAAACCTTTTTTTTTCAAAATATAAAATATGAATATCTAAATTAATGTATTTGTATATGGATATACGTATATATACAGATGAACATCTGAATATTTTCAGGTATTTAAAAATACAAATATGTGCATATGCTTGACGAATGTTTATATGGAAACCTGTTTTGCAAATTAACGAAATAATAATTTTTCAATGTCAAGACCGATATAAATAATACTCACATTATATATAGTATAATATATCCCATAAGATTGGGTGAAAAACCTTTTGCTTGTTGTATCAGTAATAAATCTTAATGAATGAACTATATTGTTTACTGGCAGTTTTGTTCCATGACCATAAACTGCAGTTTCCAATTTAACAAAAACAACATCAAATTAAAATTTTATTATTAACATAATTTAAGAAATAATTTATTTATAAATTTATAAATTATATTTACATTAGAGGACATAATTAAATACATATGTGTCAGTTATGTGCTGCCCTTTGATATTACACTTGCTTTAAAAGGTTTTATTAAGAAACAGAAAAATTTATATTTTGAAGTAGAAGAGGCGTACGGCTCTTGGTCATCGAAGTAGAAGAGTGACTCCGGTACATGAACTTTCTGACACTGCAAAATGGCAATTCTATCACATCTTTTCAAAAATTTTTATTTATATTTAATGATTATCATTTAAAAAAATAAAAATGCATATCGTACAGTAATCAAATTCATTGTTCTGAATGATTAAGTGCTAAAGAAAATTTATCTGAGAATTTAACAAATAATTAGTTTTTGCTAAAAAAAATTGGTGTTTCTTTTTATGTATTGTCCTATACCTGCTTTGGAGGATATGATATACAAATGTTTCAATCCATAATATGATATTTGATAAAGAATGAATTCAGATATGTGGAATACATAAGTCAATAGATATTTGAAAAAAATTACAGATAAAATGTTTATTGTTTGTAAATAAATATTTTACATAAAATTGTTTGCATTTACTGCATATTTTATAATAATTGGTTATTTCTCTAATTGGTTATATATTTCTGCTAACAATAAGAAACTCACAGGGCAATTTTTTCAACTAATATTCCAGCTCACCACAAACAAAAATCTTTCGAAAGATATTTTGAAAGATCTTTTGCATCCTGATAGCTGTTTTAAAAGCTCTTTCCTGTCTTCTAAAAGATGAAATGAAAGATTGTCAGCTAATGTTTTATTAATTAAAATAAAAATTATTAATAAGTTAATAATTTACTTCAATTCTCTATTAAGCTAGTTAAGTTTGTTGTATAATACACAAATGTGTTGACGTATTTTTATTTAATTTTCAAGCCGTTGCAAAAGCTATGATTAAACATTTTAAAAAGTAAGATGAACTATTAATATAAGGGTGGTCTAAGCACAGTTATGTGAAAATTACTCAGACTCAAAACAAAAATAATTTATAATATAACAGTATAAAAAATACAATATACTCTTTATACTGTTATATTATAAATTATTTTTGATTTGTGTCGGAATAATTTTCATATAACTGTGCTTAGACCACCCTTATATTAATAGTTCATCTTTCTTTTTAAAACGTTTAATTATAGTTTTTTAGAATCGGTTTGAAAACCTAAAAACCATCATGAAAGATGTGACTGTACAATTTTAAAAGTAAGCAATATTTATAAATCTAAAGGTTTTATGCGGAACACACCTACATATACGACTATATACTGTATACTAGATGTAAACTGTCATCTTATAATTATAAATATAATCATTATTAAAAATGAAACAGCTTTATAAGTCTACCAATAATAAGTTTAATCCTAAGACCTCAGCAGTTATATTAATACGGACATGATCGCCATATATGTATTTACGTCAATAACTTTTACAGTGTATGAAAAATATTTGGTTAAGCATATTTAGTTTTTAATACAGTATTCTCAAGATAGGACCTCTATTTTATTGTATGTTAATGATAAAATGAGAACCAAGCGTAGTCAGCACTTTTTTAAACGGGCACTGACAGAACTAGAACCATTTAACCATACTATGCGAGTAAGAGGACTAAAATATATTGTACATCAAAAATAATAACTGGGGATTAAAATGTCCATATATAGTATATAAAATTGTCCGTTTAAATCTTAATAATATACAAATGCCCAACTGTTATTATATTGTGAAAGTAATTTTAATTTTTGATTGACAAATTTCTAGAGAGTAATAACTCAATTGACTTTGACCGTATAAATTTAATATTAATGTAATTAAATAAAAATTTACTTAAATCATTTTATATTCACGAATGAATGCTTCGAACATTTTACTTTTATTTACCCTATAAACAAATTCAATAAAATCAAGTTTTAATGCAACATAGCTACGTTTTAAAAGAAAATTGTTATAATTTTGTCATAGTTAACCTCGTTTAACATTTTTTTATTAAATGTTTTGTTACGACTACTCGCATATATGCAAATTACCTAAAAAATTCAATTTGCATAAATATAAAAAAATATTTTACTTTACGAATTTCACGTTGTTAGTTGACATCATGCGGCATTTGATTTTGATTAACGACATTTTAATGAACACAATTTTAGTAGCACTTCGAAAATTGATAAGGTTGTATGAAAATCAAACAAAAACACTAATACTTTTTAATCAGAAACGCATGAATTTTTAGTACATTTGCACTGACACACCAAAATAATTTTAAAGTATATTTAATAATAGCCATGTACCGATATTGACTTTATAGTACTAGTAATTGTACATCGAACATACACTTCTAAGCAATGCCAATTTGTATGATTCTATTAAGATAACTTATATTTTTTGAAATCAACAATTTTAAAAAAAATTAAATATTAATAACATATATTTGATAGAGGGGAAAAAAATGGTTCACGATATGGCTAAAATTGGCGCCAAACTTAGAAACGAGGTACTAAGGTCTCCCCACAATTTATGCACACAACTGGACACATATTAATGGAGGCAGATATCGTAACTAAAATACTTGCAAAATAACCAGGTATTCGATGATAAATGCGTTAAATGTATTTTATGGTTTGATCGAAAGAACTTCAAAATGTAAGTTGTTATTTTAACCAAGCACTATCTGCTTGTAACACATGGGTATAAGCTAAATATTACTAACACTGACGAAATAAGAAAATGCAAGGCACTGAATGGTAAAAAAAAACGGTGGAACATTACCTCTACTTCTTTAAAATTTTTTGAAGCTACCACTTTTGAGGAACTGAACTAGATCTTCAACATTGGAATGAACAATCTCTAGAAATTTGATAACAATACACATACATCTGAAATAATCTGTGTACTCATTAATTGCCTTTAAAGATTCTAACTTGGAATCGCTATACAATATTACTAGTTTCCAGATTTCAATTTTTGGTGTCCGCTTAAGAGA